AAGCAGAAAAGTTCAAAAGAGCTTGAGAATCATATTATGCACAGAATAGTTAGTCTCACAAAAGTGCTCCAAGAATAGACAAAAAATGGAACTTTAATATATCTTGTTAATTGTTTGATTAAACTCGGGTTGTTCGATCAGTGCGTATCTGGTTCATATAACCTGGCAAAAAACCAAAGGAACTACACATTGCTGTGGGTGTGATATTTATGTGTTAATTTGTTCTTTTTCAAGTGCTATGACATGAATAGAGAAAGCAAGAGGGATCGAACGAGTACAGTTTAACAGAAAAGGCATAAAATTAAAAGACGATTAAATGGACTTACGCGTGTAAGATGCATTATTAATGATGGGTTATGATAATGCTTAAGGAATATTAGGTTAGCTCCTTGGCTGTGTCTAATACTCTTCTTGCCCACCATGTGAAAAATGTCTCTTAGCTACTTTGTTTGCCTATGTTTAATAATTTTTCATTATTTTTCTAATATTTATTAATTAAAGTCCAAATGATACCAACGGAAAAATCCATGTAAAATAATAGAAGTTAAGTATACGTACTGATTACTAATTAGTACCCTTTGATTAATCTCTGACACTGAAATGAAAATCATTATCAATGAGACACGTCCGTGAATCTTTCTAATTAAGATAATTTCGGATGATTTTTGTGTGATGAGCCTCTAGAATTCAATGTACTTGACATGAATTGTGGTTAAATTGCTTTACTAAAGGTAGAAAATAAAACATATGAATACCGTAGAGTCCCAAGGAGTGGCACTGATAGATTGGTCGCATTAGGAGCGTGGAGTAATTAAGCAAAACACAAGTAAATTAAATTAAATTAAACGTGGAAGTGGTCGACCTTCCTCCATCAACAATTAAGCTTCATGGGACTCTCTTCTTCCTCTGATTAAACTTTTTTGATTGGCCCTTTTGAAATTATTAATTCCTTAATAAATAAACTACGATCAAAATTATGCATTTGCGTTACGCAACAACAGTACATGGCGCTATATTATTGCAGACGCTCACATGGCTGGAAATAATAACTAATTTCATTCTAACATGTCTCGACTAGTTTAATTTGATGCGTTTTAAAGTATTGAAAAAGTTATCAAAAAGATGGTTCCAGAAATGTCAAAGAAACGACTCCTTCATATTTAATTGCCTTTTTCTAATTAGTATATGTTATTAAGTTCATGTCCCACTCATGAGCCATTGCATGGAAGGTTCATTTTTGATGGAGGGCTTAATTAGTGCTTCACAGCTTACGATCCATCTTATATTATCATAAAAATCTTATTTAGATATCTAATCCATTAAAAGTACCTATAAATAATGCAAATAAAACAGCAATATCTATTAATTAGATACTCCTCCGGTCCTAATTATAAGACCCAATTGACTTATTTGAGGAGATTAAGGAAGTAAGTTAAGTTGGTTATTTATAATAAATAAGTGTTGTCATTCCTAAAATATCCTTGCTAATTAAGTATATTGGCTAAAACTATCATTATTAGAAGGATTATCTTGGAAAAAAATGCATAAATATAAGAGACAAAATGGATTGGGGTCTTATAATTAGGACCAAATAAAAAGTCAAATGGGGTCTTATAATAAGGACCGGAGAAGTACATAGCTATTACAAAATGTACAAAAGCTGCAACTATATATGATTTTACCATCTTCGTCTCTTTTGTTAATATCTTCTTATAAATCATGAGACCATGCCTTTTCAATTAATTACTTCACTTTATTGCTCTTTTTGCGCATCACGTGTATGTAATTCTGTCTTTTTAGTTTAGCTAGTAGTATTTATCAGTATATATGAATTTTAATTATATTAATTCAGTCAGTATTGATATTAATTGTCGCTTAAATTTTCTTCACGAATATAGTCATATGATATAATTGTAACGTGTAAATTCAACGGACACAGAATATTAAAATTAATCATAAAAGCAAAATAAACATTTCCCCCATATATATATCACGATCCCAAATGGGGATAAGAATTTATTACTAGTTTTTTTAAGCAGTAGCTTGGAGTCCATTAATTAAGGGCTATAAAACCGAACCCAATTTATTAATTTAATTTGCTTAGCTGGTTACCATTAGTCCACACAGAAATCCGAAAGTCTTGGAATTTCACAAGAAGCCAAACTACACAGAATAATAAAACCCAATAATTTTCACAAAGGGAAGAGAGGAGCTCTGCTCATATATATATATATATATATATATATATATATGATCAAAACGGAAAATAATAAAGTAAAAAGATGTGGAGGTTGTTGATGAAGCCGCCTGTTTTCTGGTAACACTGTGTTGATGGAAGTCTCAAATTAAAGAAAGAGAAGCTCTCGTGATTGGGTGGACGGCCAATTAGATATGCTAATTCCCACTAAAAAAGCATAACTCTTACAATCATCTTATTATATTCTTCAAAAATTATGTTCAAGACATTATGTTATTCGCAACTTGACAAGAAATTAATTAACTAAGCAGGCGTATGGTGTTTTGCATGACATTTATTTTTTCCCCCATTATAAATGGGCGCACATGAATATTTAAGTACCAGTTTCAAACCAAAGCAAGGTTCGATCGCAAACAGATAACTAAACTCTCATTGACAAATCGTGTAATTATTTTGAATTTGATATAAAAATATCATTTAACATGAATAAATGCTCATAGTTTATTTAGTAATCCAATACATTCATTTAGGCGTTGGTGATCAATTTCAGAGTGAGCTAGTGAATATACTGGCAAAATAGACCTCATGGTTCTAATTAATCAATCCTGCTGAGTTAAAGGTTCAATATTACGTATCTTATCATCTGCAACTACAAGCAATTGAAATTTTAATTTTGGGTCAAAGAAAACCGTTAGGATTTAATTTCCATTATTGGTCAATTCGGATAAGTAAGTGAGAATGGCCATAATGTTGATTAATTAATTAGACAAAATATAAATATCATTTACTAAAAAAGAAAAAAGATATTGTAATTGTTTAAAAAAAAAAGTGCAACTTGAACACCCAAACAAAAGTTAACGATTAAAAAAATAATATGTGTTTGTTGTCAAATATAGTGACTGGGAAAGCAGCCAATGATTTTAGCATCTTCAACACTAATCCTTAGCTTTGAAATGCTATTGGTCTCTTTCAAAAATTTCATTATTTGAATATTTCAGTCATTATCCCAATTCTTTTCTCCCACGGTCGTTCCCACTTGCTACATAATGACGGAATTACAATATCACGATAAGGATCGTTGTCTCTTAAATTTTTTCAAATCAGATATTAAAGTTTCAATCCCACTCTGTTAGGTCAATTTATTTATATTTAAACATATATGCAGAAAGGGGGGCTGGCGAGAGGCTGACAATGTCAACTTTAGTTTACTTATTATATATATGACTAGATTTATGAAGATAACATTATAGATTAAAGAAAGGATAGTTATTCACTGGCAAGCATTCTGATGAATAAATAATTACGTACGTCGGTGGTCATAATACTACAACAATAATAACGTAATATTACTGGCCCTGCCTTGTATTAGAATTAGACTGTGTTATTAAACCTGTGCAATTAAGATAGTTAACTTGGAAGACTAAGTGAGACCCTCGAATTCTTAATTACAGTATGCAAGTTTTTATTAAAACATAAGAAACGCTTGAAACCACATATATCGCTTCTTCTTCTTTTTTAGCAGCATTTTTAGTGTATGAAACATTTTATATTTCATTTAATTTTTTTTCATATATACCAATACAATTTATTTGGATTAGTAAACTGCATTTAGCTAGTCTTTTTTTTTTTTTTAAACAGATCAACAACAAGGTTTTTCTGCCAACTATTACCGTTAAATAAGTCATCTTTCTTGCATGGTTGGTTAGTTACAGGGGCAATGTAACTGGATATGACATGTTAAACAAAATATATTAAAAAGATTTGGTTGAGTTTGGGAAGGAGATCTCGTAATCTAATCCATGGCAAAATCTGAGTATAAAAATGAACCAATACTTAGAAGCACTGTGAATAATCAATATATGGTTGTCGTCCACTTTCCCCTCCCCACACAGATGAATCAATCCAATAAAAGAAATGCGTGTTCTTTTTATTTATTCACGTAAATGAAAATATCGGAACACGTAGCCACCTCCCATTTGTTGATTCCCCCCGAACCCCGCTTCACACACCCAAAAAAAAAAAAAATGATGTCGTCCCTGCTATGTCTATTTTTTTTTTTTTAAAGCATGGAAGAATTACATAATTAGTATTATAATGAAGTTTTACAAGACTCATTATCAAAGTAAAAAGAAATAATAGTTTCAGTGCCCCTTTTTAACTGAATTATTTTTTGAAAAATAATCATTAAATCTCATAAAATTTGAAAATAATTTTTATTCGCAACAATAAATGATAATCTTTAAAATTATTCAATGCAAATTTTTAATATCTTATTCATTAGATTAACCCGAAACAAATCAAACTTGTGTAAATATAGGCCCATTCTTCAAGTGCAATGAAACAAAAAAGAGTAAACCCAATTTCTTTAGTCCACCTTTTTCGGCCCCGTACTAAGGGCCGACTGTTTAGCCTAAAACGGTCCTTCGCCTATGCATGTCATGGGCAATAAATAAAGAAAAGGAGAAATATTTTAAACCAATATTGATAATACTACTACAATCATCTGATCATTTCATTAACCTCAATGTAATTAAAATTTAAACCTATTTTTGTACTCACCAGTCACCACTCATTAGTGGTGGGAAAAAAGAAACTAATATAATTATATTCTTTCTTCCTCCCCTTCCCCGATTTGTCTTGTTTTGTCGTGGCAGCTCATTTTCTGTTTGTGAATGCCTATTTTCAAGAGGTTATGGGAGCAAAAGGCTATATGGGATTATCCATTTTCAGGCATCTGAACCCTTTCATGCCCAAATCAAATACCAATATTAGAATGGTGTAAATCGAACCCTGAATTGGGTTCATCGTTCTCCATTTATACTACCAATGCTCCTTGTTTTTCCTTTTTCTTTACGCTCCTCCTCCCGTTTTCCTGCTGCATTCCCGCTTTCTTTGTGATTCACAGGGTTTCACAATAGAACAACATTACCTATGTCAACCTTGACCACTCCTCCCCCAGACACATTCTCGGCTCGTGACGATGTTGCTCGCCTCCGCAAAGCTTTGAAAAAAGGTTACATTTTTCCCCCCTGTTTTCATTTGTTCTCTTTACATAGGTATAAGCGGACAATCTGATGTATGACATGTTTCTCCGTCTTTTTGAATTGATATTCAAAGCCCTGCTATGTGCAATTCTGTTGAAGGTTCAAGAATTTTCTTCACAACAGATTTATAGTTGTTAAATATATTCACATGTGCTTAGGGGTGTTATTCTGCAATGATTTGTATTTTCTTGACCCTGAAACGGTGTGTGCCCTTTCTACTTCCCAATCTTTTACTATGTCACCGGTTCTCTTTATTTTGATGAGAGTTATAATGGAGAGTTCTACTTGTCATCTTAAATATTTTAATGCAAAAGAATGATACGAGTTGCAGGTAAATGGGCACAAAAGCAAGTAATAACTGAGGAACTTTCAACATCAATCTTAATTAATACATAATATGAAAAATAAAATAAAATAAAATTCATAATAAGTTACATTCTTCATAAGAAGCGAGTAGTGCAACTCGTTGCCCAAATTGTATGATGCACTTTCGATTGCTTCTGTAACAGCTTCCCCAATTCTCATTACAGGAATACGCTGCAAAACTTCAGTGGTCATAGAAATCCTTGCTCATAGAGACTCAGCGCAAAGAGAACTCATTCTACAAGAATATGAAACTGCATATTCTGAACCGCTCACCAAACGTATCAGTTCAGAAATTCATGGAAACATCAAGGTGTGTGAGTGTCTGTGTGTATTGAAAGAAAAACTAATCCAGTTATTGTTTGCCTTCATCATTGAAAACAATGGAAAACAAGTAATTCATCTTTTTGACTTCAGAAAGCATTGCTTCTTTGGATGGATGAACCTGCCAATAGGGATGCTACTGTAGCAAGGCAAGCCTTGACTTCATCCCTTGTTGATAATCAAGCTATAACTGAAGTGATCTGTTCTCGCTCCCCATCACAAATAAGGCGCTTTAAAGAAGTTTATCAGAAAGTATACCATACTCGTTTAGAGAGGGACATTGAAGACTATCTATCTGGGGATCTCAAGAAGGTGCTTCCTTCCTCTGATACAATTGACAGATTCTTTTCTGTTCTCTATTAATTAAAATGAGATAGTGGATGAAAGCTATTGTGTGTGTGTGTGTGTGTGTTTTTTTTTTTTTTTGGGTTCTTAATACTTTTAATTCAGTACTTTTAAATTTTGTCATATTGACCTGATCCGCTAGCTAAAATAATTGAGTAACTTGAGTCTAGTTATCTGCGAGCAGCTGTTGCATGAATATATAAGCGTTCCACGTTATGAAGGCCCAGAATTTGATCAAGAAATAGTAGAGAAGGACGCCATGGATCTGTATAAAGCTGGGGAGAGGAAGATGCTAGGAACTGATGAGAAGACTTTCATAAGGGTTTTTAGTGACAGAAGCAGGACACATTTGGCTGCTATTGCCGAAGCATATGAAAGAAACAACGGCCACTCACTGGAAAAGGTGTGCATGCAAATTCCTCAATGAGATGCTTTTGTTCCATACTGTGGTTCACCTTTATCATTTTACACAATCCAATCCATCCATTTCGTGCCCTGCAGGCTATAAAGAAAGAAACAAGTGGCTATTTTGAAAGGGGACTATTGGCCATTCTTCGATGTGCTACTAACCCTGCACTGTACTTCGCCAAGGTATTTTCTCCTTCTCGTAGTTTCATCTTGACGTGCTGATAAAATTTTACCTTCATGTAAAATGATTCATGAAAATTTCACAGATTCATTACATCCTGTTATAGATAGGTTTGTCTCAGTGTTTTCAGAAATTCTTTATGCCATTCACATTGCAGACATGAAGAGGACTAATCTCTGATGTGTTTATTTGGCAGATTCTGAGGAAATCAATGAAGGGATTTGGAACCGATGATAGTCGATTAATAAGAGTAATTGTGACAAGAACTGAAATTGATATGCGCCAAATAAAAGAAGCATACCTCTCAAGATATGGGAAGCCATTAGCCAGTACGGTTCGATCAGACACATCGGGCCATTATAAGGACTTTCTTCTATCTCTAATAGGTGATGATTAGGGATATGCGAACAAAGAGCCCTATGACCAATGGCATGTAAACTAAAATAATTCGTATCCACAGCCAGTTTCGACATATGAAGAAAAGTTTACAATCAATAGTATGATATTGATTTACAAATAGTATCTCCATGTAAATGACCTGTATACTCATGGTTCATCTGTCCTTTATTTCTTTTGTATATAGATTTTACGTGCATAATTTATGAAAAGGAAAAGGTGCAGTTACGAAGCCCTACTGCTCTTTTTGACACAACAGAATTATGTGTAGAAGTGGAATTGCAAGTATATCCGTGTTAACTTGTTTGGTGTAATGGAGGTTTAAGAAAGTGGCTGGACTATATGAAAATGTACTTTTTTAAAAAAATTTTTTTACTATCCTTATTAATTTTTTTTTGGTTTATACAATTTAAATGTATATACAGACAATCACAAATTCAAATCTGGAACCTCATTTAAGAAGTCTTGAATATCACATATGAAGAGCCCAAAAAATTGATTAATTTATGGTAAAAATGAAGAATACCAATTGTTAATTCTAAAAGTTGCAAGAGATAGTCAGAGAATTATTAACTAACACAATGTGAACTGCGTTACATTTTAACTATAAACAAATATATTACTTTGTCTCATTAGCTGACTATTGGGTGTGTGTATATATAATCTGATCACATGTAAACATAGGTATGATGTATTACGCATAAATTGTACGTCCATCAACATAAAATATAAAAATTATAACGAATTACATTATTTATTTGTCATGAAGAGCATAGAAACCATGAAATCAAATTTGATTTTTTTTTTAAAAAAAATGCTTAAGCGACGACTAGATCTTGAATCATATTTCTAAAACTTGACAACCCTTCAATTGAAAATTACCAAGGTTAATATTTTTCAAATAATTAGTTTGTACTGAAACAAAAATCACTTATTTTATTTCCCCATTCTCTTCCTCCTCATGGGAAAATGTAGAGATTGAGTATGAAAACAATCGAATAAATTCGCTGAACTCAGCGTTCAAGGAGCTACAGGAATCTTGAGTTTTACTCTATTTTTACAAAATATATTACTCTCCCGGTCTTAATTACAAAATTTATTTATAGTTTATAAGCGAGTTTTATAATTAGAATAGGATGAAGTATGTATATATAATGATAAATTAATGATTAATGACTACACGTTGATATCCAATCCAAGAAAATTATCCTGTGGCAAATTCTTGTATGGTCCAGGAGTGCCGCCTCATTCAGGCCCTAAAAAAAAAAAGAGTGCCACCTTTCATGTGCTCTCTGACTAATTGCAATTAAAATTTGTTGAGGTGTTGATTTTTGATTAGCCAGATCATGTGAGGTGGCACCCTGATGGCATATAACAATTGACAATTTCTCAGTCTCGTTACCCTCGCACCGCGTTTGAACTCTGAAGTCACGAACGCATAGCAGAGTCCCTCGGTGGCGGGGCAGAGATTGGCGCTTCACCCAATCCCTGCGGTCTCCCTTCAGCTTCCCAGGCTCAGCAACTCTTTGTGTTGCCGACCCCTAGTGAGGTAAGCCTTCAAAGTCACAATTTTCGGTTCAACTGAAAACGGTTTGGTATAGCTGTCGGATCGGTGCTTGTTCCAGTCCCAAGTCACAACTTTTAATATGCGCAAAAAATTGTTTTTCTTTCGTTTTAAACCTGAAGTTGCCTCCTTATATTATTTTCTCCTTTGTTCCTTGTAGCTTCCAGCTTTCGTGGACTCGGCGAAGACTTCAAGATTCAATGTCAGGGGAAGTAGATGTTCGAGGCCCTGCTTCTTCTTCAGAGAAAGGAAAGGACCTGATAATTGAGGGGTACCGTATTCAGGGTTTGTCCATTGGAGGCCAAGAAACCTGCATAATTTTCCCTTCACTTAAGTTAGCTTTTGATATTGGTCGCTGCCCTCCCCGTGCTGTTTGCCAAGACTTCCTCCTTATTTCCCATTCTCACATGGATCACATTGTTAGTCTGTTTCTTCAATGCAAATTCATACCGAAGATTAGTGTTATTTCTTCTTTTAATGAATTTTAAATCACATTGTCGTAGTGAAATATTGTTAGCCCGGCTATATAATGATTGCGTGTCTGACCTATCATTTCTTTGGACAGGGAGGACTACCTATGTATGTTGCAACGAGAGGCTTGTACCGTATGAAGCCCCCAACAATTATTGTCCCAGTATCTGTAAAAGAGGATGTAGAGAGACTCTTTGAGGTGCATAGGAAATTAGACCACTCGGAACTGAAGCACAATCTGGTTGGCTTAGATGTAGGTAAGTTTTGAATTGAAATTTTGCAATGCTAACCTTGGCCCCCCGTATATTTTCGTTGCTTACGCTTCCTTTTATTTTCAGGGAAGAGTTTTATTTGAGAAACGATATTAAAGTAAAAGCTTTTAAGACTTACCATGTGATACCTAGCCAGGTTACCGACTAGCTATCATTATCATACACCTTTTTTGAGTTTAAATCTTAATGTTATACACATTTCTTAACAATTCCATGGACTGACCTTCATGTATGCTTTTGACAGGGCTATATACTTTACTCTGTAAAAAAGAAGCTTAAACACGAGTACCTTGATCTTCCTGGAAATGAAATTAAGAACTTGAAGTTTTCAGGTGTGGAGGTCGGTCTCGATTATTGTATTAATCGATATTTTATTAAAATTGATACCTGGGCAGTTTGTCCTGCTTTCACCATCCAATTTTGACACCCGCTGCTCAGTTCTTTGCACTTCTTATGTTTCTTTTCTTTTTGATTAAATAATTTATGGAAACAAGATATGTGATATAGGCTATTTATATTAAAAGAAAAAATAGTGACTGTGATAATGAAGGAGAACTAAAACTCCGAGCTGAACATATTTTCTGAGTTAATGTTCAGTTAGCTGCCACTTTATGGTTCAGCTGCCTTTGTCACCCTCGTCAAACTCTCGATCTATCTAATATGATTGTAGAAGTTGAACACATGTAAAGTTGTCCTCCTGACACCTGGAGACAATTCAGTTGTATCTATTGTTGATTTTTTCTGCTTTCCATAATTCTTTGATTTTACATTGGGTTATCCTTTTCAAAATGAGGTGGCTATAGGCTGCAATTGATTTGTTTTTTGTTCAAGAGGTGTAAAATTTCACCTATTTTGAATTTTGATAGTGCGTCTGCTTCTTGTTTTGACTTCACTGAGCATGCTTAACCAGATTGTGCTGTGGGCAGATAACATACACTTTGGAAGAACCAGAGATTGCTTTCACTGGGGACACGACGGCAGAATTCATAGTTGATGATGGCAACATTGATGCATTGCGAGCCAGGATTCTTGTTATGGAGGTGCTCTACTTTCTTTATCTAATAATTCGTCTCCTACTTCGTTGCTGATCTAAACTATTGAATCGAGTTGTGTATTTTTGCATTATTGGATCAGATCATTAATGGTCTTCCTTGATTCAAAGCCTATACACTTCGCTCATTATGAAATGGATTGGTATAGATTTGAGGTTTGAGGTTTTCTGTTGAGAATTTTTTTTACATTTTCACGTGCATTTTTACATTTCACATAATTTTGCACATTTTCTTTCTTGCAACTTCCTTTTAATTGTCATCTAAAGGAAGACCGGCTTTTAATTGACTTCCAGGCCTACATTTTCCCTCCATCTTATCTGAAAGTATCAGATTTTCATACCTAAGAGTGATTAATGAATTGATCGAGTCTCCCAATATCTGAAGTCGTGACTGAATGAATTCATTATTATCCATATAATATAGTAAAAATTCAGTTCATACAATCGGTTACTTAAATTCAAAACTAATGGTTATTTTTGAAGTACTTTAGGAAAAAATCCATATGCAATATCTACATTATATTAGTTCTTGCTATTGAATTTTCAACGTCATTTTCTGTACTTAATTTCTGGTCATTGCTCCTACATAATGCGGGTTAAAATTTGTGGTTCACGATATGATTTTACTGCATCTCTTATCCTGTCTTCTTAATGCGTCCAGTGCACCTTTGTAAACGATTCAATTACAGTGATGCATGCCAGGGATTATGGACACACTCATCTGTCTGAGGTATTCTCTATGAACCATTAGTATTGTGTTCACTACCAGCGGCAATGATTATCACATGAACATTCATATCTCTTGGGGGTTTTGGTTGCTCCATTCTCTGCTAATCAATGCTCTCCAGATAATTACTCATGCCGGGAAGTTGCAAAACCGAGCCATCCTTCTAATTCACTTTTCAGCGCGCTACACAGAAGAGGTATGATCCTAGCAAATGAATTTTATATCCCCACACCATCTCAACCCCTTCCCCATGAGGAATTTTATAGAGTGGCAACTTTTGGTGGACTCATAGGTAGTTTCTTCATGTTTGATTTGAGACATGGTTATTGCAGTCTGAAATCATTACAGAGTGATTCTATCATGAAAAACTCGTATGTGTGTTCCGTGTCTCTCTTCCCCGTTCTGTTTCAGCATAGCTAATGCGGGTAATGGCGTTTATGGTATTCAGGAAATTCAACAAGCCATAGCTGCACTGCCTCCGCCATTGGCGGGTCGAACTCATGCGCTTACAGAAGGTTTCTGACACAAGGGTTTGAAAGAGCTTTCTTGATGGCAAAGGAAGGATCAAATGAATGCTGTGCTAATGAGCTACCAGAGCCATCAGGCTATGCTAGTTAGATGTCAGAGAATAGTAGCCCAAAAAAATATCACAGAGAATATGGACGTAACAATACTTATGGTAAAATTATTATACACTCTTCCAAGACATTACAGTGAGGTGTCTGTTGATCATCGACCCAAAAAAAAAATCTCCTTTTGCTTAAGGTTAGAGTGAGGACTGATGATCAATTGCATTATAATTTCTAAAGATTTTATTTGATTCAATTCAATTTGGTAATTTTCATAGAGATAGAAGTTTTAAAATTGCTCTAATGACTAACATCAATTAAATTAAGGCCAAAAATGCTGACGTCATAACAAGGATCTTATGTTGGAAAAGTGAAAGAAAACGTCCCGCCGGAACTTTGACTTCCAAAACGATGTCGTTCCGCCACTAAATAACAATTCTTAAAATCGGCGGCATGGCAACGGTTTTACTGGGCGCTAATAAGTTCTATTTCTTCTCAACCAATCATAATTAATCTCAGTTTTTGTAAATGTATACAGCTTGAATGTCCTATTTGGGTTGCGTTTTTCATGCGTTCTAATCTTACAAAAACATGAAAACTCGTTAAAAATACATAAACGATATTGATTAAACAATCTATCCATCTAAATTCTCAAGTATACACGGCAAATTTTGGGGCATATGCGCACAATTGTAGAACCAGTAAAAATGACTAGCTTTAAGAAAATAGTTACCTTCCACCCATACAACTTGCCGGGGAGGCCACTCTTCTTTTCCCTTGAAATAACGTGACCACGGACGCGGACAATTGCTGTGCAAATGCACTGATTAATTCAGATGACAAGGCAGAAAATTCCTAGACCTTTCGGGGGTCATTGAAAATCTTGGCGTCCAAACTGTCCTAACATGCTCAGAACATAAGTTGTTTGCCTCTGTGAAAAATGTGGTTCACAGTTATCCTGTATTTACCAACTAATCACAGTTTATTCGTTAACTAATTAATTTGTTAATTGGAATCGGTTGCACGAAAATATAAGATGCCATTCTTTCTTTTCTAAACCTTCTTCTATATAACGTTGAAACCCCAATTGATTAAAATAGTTTATGCCAGCTAAACTAGCTAACAGATTCTATATATGCTTGCTAATTTTAGAATTCACACTTGTACCTGAGATCTGGGTAAACTTGATGTATATTTTTAGCTTCATTGACGTTTACACACTGTACCACCTGATTTTTGTTGTATATGCATAGAACTGTAACTCAAATTTTAGCCACATATAGCTATGCACACCTTGAAGTTTTGACGTGCCCATTCATCCTGTCACAGCCGATTTTTGCTTTTCCTTCGAACACTAATGTTTCTTTTTTTATGTTCTCTTGAAAGTTGTCTAACCATCGCTTACCGGTTTTAGATACGACATAGTTATACACCTAAGCGGGACACCGCCATCTAGAACCCACGCTTCTCTTGTATTAACTACTTATTCTTTAAAGCTAGGTCGTTTTTGGTTCATCTACAGAAACCGGAAGATCGAGGAACATTTGGTTCTTGTTCTCCCTTGGGTCACCTGCATACAGCAATGGAACATAATGTTGAAGTGAGAGTGAATGGAACCATTAATCCCGTTGATTTTGACTATAATTCGAATTATGAAGTTTGTTTTCACAAAGGCATCGTACGTTCCAAATTCTTGCATGGCGTGTGGTATAGCGATAGCCCATTCCACAGTGTGCTCCCTATCACGCTGCTCCAAATCTTCTTGTTCCTCATCTCCTCTAGGCTTATTTACTTTCTTCTCAGGCCTATCCGAACTCCCAAGTTCGTCTGCTCAGTTCTGGTATATGTTTCTCCATTCTCCTTTATCTTCACTAATACGTTTCTCGTAATTAATTGAATCTCCTCAGAATCACTAAAATATTTTATCATCATGAACGCAGATTGTTGTCAGAGCTGTGTGTGTGTGTGCATGCATGATTGTAATTCCACAGGAACTAAACTTTCTTGGGTTTTAATTTAACCGAAAATTTGCAGGCTGGGATTTTCCTAGGACCTTCAGTTATTGGGCACAACGAGAAAATCAAGAATATACTGTTCCCGCCTATCCAAAACGAGGTCTTGCGGTTCATGGCATCAGCGTCTTCCATATATTACATCTTCATCGTGGTAATGAAAATGGAGGCGGTGTCGAACCTGAAAAACGCCATGAAGACCTGGAAATTCGGAGTAATACCCCTCCTGTCCAGTTTCTGGGTCATGTTGGGCCTCTTCTTCTTCCTCGTTCCCGACGTGTCTTCCAACTGGACACCGCGCAACGCGTCCGCATGTTGCTGTGCGTGACAACCTCAATCAGCACTTTCCCCGTCATGTCGGAAAACCTAGTCGAATTGAACCTCTTAACTTCCGAGTTAGGCCAGGTTGCAATGTCAGCAACCATCCTCAACGAGATTGCTCACTGGGCTTACATGGCTATATCCACAGTCATCGTCTTCAAGCTGAAGAACACATTTGAGTTCTTGTTTTGTTGCATTGCCTTTATATGTTTCTGCTTCTTCGCGATAAAGCCAGCAATGTTGATGATTGCTAGGAGGACTCCCGATGGGATGCCATTAAGTCAGGGTTATGTTGTTTCGATACAAATCGGGGTTTTGGTTATGGCGGCCATAAGTAGCCTGCTTGGCATGTCTTTCACCACGGGTCCATTTCTTGTGGGCTTGGTCATGCCCCATGGGTCCCAATTAGCCACAACTATAGTGGACAGGACCGAGTGCATAATGTCGAACTTCCTCGGCCCTTTGTTCTTCTGCCATATAGGATTGAACATAGATGTTTATGCCCTTCAATCTTGGGGTATGATTTTGAAGATTCAACTCATCATAATTGCGGGCTTCCTCACCAAGTTCATAACCTGCACGCTCATCTCACTCTCCTATAACATCAGGCTCAAACACGGCATTGTGCTTGGCCTCATGTTGAATTTCAAGGGCATCATTGACCTCATCATTTTCAGGAAATTAAGGAGCCTCAAGGTTTGAATCTTCCTCTCGCTCCCAAAGCCCTGTTCGGCACACTTATAAAATAGTATATACTACATATTCAGATCAGTGATTCTGTGTATGCGCGATTTGTTTTGCAGATAGTGGACGATCAGCTTTTCGCTCACTGGGTGTTTTCTGTGATAGGGGTCACTGCAATTGTGTCCCCATTGATTGAAATCCTGTATAAACCTCTTACTAGACTAGAAACACTTTCGAGATCACGAGCATCGAAGACGATAAGGACGATACAGACCACCTCAAGAAACTCAGAGTTGCTCATTGTGTCGTGCGTGCACAAGGAAGGAGAAGTACGAAGCATCATCGCCCTCTTGGAATCCATGAACCCAAAGATTGAAAACCCCATCTGCGTCTACGCCATCCACCTCATCGAGCTCTCAGGCCAGAGCACACCCATGCTCCGTCGTGTAGACATCAGCAAGAAAAAATCCCTAACTCACCATTCCACAGGCTACATCATGCGAGCCTTCGATAACTATGCCCGAAACTCCGATGAGGGTTCCATCACCCTGGTACCGTACATGAACGTCGCCCCTTACAAGAGCATGCACGAGGCCGTCTGCAACTTCGCCCAAGACAGATCAGCGCCTCTCATCATCCTTCCTTTTCACCAAAACGATCCAACCCACGTCGGAGACGTCGCGGTCGCCATCCGCAAACTCAACATGAACTTCCTCGATCACGCGAATTGCTCGGTGGGGATACTAGTGGACCGGGAGTCTCATCTGAGAGTGAGCTCCTCCGAGCACATGTCACTCCACATCGGAATGTTCTTCGTGGGAGGACCTGATGATCGAGAAGCACTGGCGCTGGGCATGAGAATGGCGAGGCGAGAGAACTCGAGCCTCGTGGTGTACAGATTTGTGATGCAAAACCACGAGAAGGAGGAGTGGGAGGAAGAGGACGAGGAGGATCGAAGGATGGACGAGGACTTGATAGACGAATTCAGGGCGATGAACTTCGGAAGAAGGGGGGTAGCGTACCATGAGATAGAGGTGGAAGGAACGGAGGTGTTCGAGAGGATTCAGGAACTGGAAGGGGAGTACGACCTGGTGATGGTGGGGAGGAAGCACAGGGTGGAGGTAGATGGATTGGAGGACGAGGAGGTGTTGTCGACGTTGTGGGATAATGCGGATGTGTTGGGAGTGATAGGGGATATGTTGGCGTCCACGGAGTTCTGCGATGGGACGGTTCCAGTTTTGGTGACACAGTGTGGTGGAAGCAACCTTAAAAGCTTGGGCAGAAAGGCTTCTTCTGTGGCAGCATCCCATTCCAGTCTTGGTTCCACATTTTGGTAGCTAATTAATAGTTCAGCTTCTCTGCTTCTTAGTCATTGACCCTTCACTCCGTAGATTTTTTTGTCTTTCTTCTTAAGACATGGCAAGCTATAATTTTGTATTAAGCCTATTTTTTGTCCTCATGGCGCAAAATAAAAAAACGATAACTAATATGTGGGTGTAAAAATATATTTTTTTTATAAAAAAATTTATGTGAATTGAGTCACAGAAACTTATTAGGACCAAACGGGCTATGCTTTCACTCTATATCAATTGGACTAACTCTTTTTATTAGTGTGAAAAATATAATGTTACTAACTAACAAAAGCATTAATGACAAACAGGGTGGGTCTAGGGAAGAGGTTAGTCCCTCACAATGTGGTGAACCAAAGTTCGAATTCTTACTGGGAGAGTTGTCCACATTTAGTGCCCGACAGTGCTTCGAATAGGATTACTTCCAATAGGAAGATACCTATGCTTTAGCAAAAAAAAAAAGCATTAATGGACCACTATGAAAGGCCCCGTAACGCCGAAATGATTTATGCGTTTTTTTTCCCCAAATAATGTATGCATTTTTTCACTCCTTCTGGTGTGTGTGTGTGGTGTTAGACTAAATTTTGTTAAAGTTTATGACAATTATATGTAGATTATCATTAATTAACAGGAATGTTTACTTATATAATTACCTAATTAGTCCTGGGATTTAATACTATATTAAGCAAGCTTTTCATCCCCCCCCCCAAAAAAAAAAAAAAAGATATATGATTCTGGACCCGTTAAGAGCGTCCCCATTCAGTGGAACGCAAATGGTCACTAATGATTTATTTTTCCTAACTAAGCATGGTATATAATGTGTGTGTATACACACACACATATACATGTATAAGATTGGCAAACACAGTCAGTATATAATTAAAGTTTAGTTATAAAAATAACTACACACATCATCTTAATCGCATGAACGTAAAATGATAATAAGTACTCCTCCGGTCCTTAATATAAGACCCATTTAATTAATTTGATTAGATTAAAGCAGTTAGGTAAGTTGGTTAATTATAATAAATATGACATGTTTTTCCTAAAACACCATAATTATCTTTCTTAATACCCATCTTCTTCTTCCACTTAATTATGATTGAGAGAGTATCCATAGGGGTAATTTAGAAAAAATTGATAAATATGATAAATGGGTCTTATATTTAGGACCAAAACCAACTCAATAATTAAGTCCTATATTAAGGACCGGAGGAGTATTTGAAATATCTTTTTGAGAGAGAGAGAGAGAAACTAATTAAGGAATGAACAAATGGTGTTGGATACGGCGATACGCTACGTATGGATGAATGAAACATGTAGCAAATTCGTTTGCCTATCACATGAAAGGAATCCACGTTTTCGTGTCTAGTACTATAAATTCCACCCCTCCAATCCAAACCTCTCTTGCCTGCTTCGACCATACAAATACATACATAAAGCAACCTCCTCTTCTCTCTCTCTCTCTCTCTCTCTCTCTCTCTCTCACGCACACAACAGCAAGTCAGCAATGGCTTCTTCTTGCTTCGACGTACGTATTCTCCTCCCTCTGTTGTTCCTCACGGCATCCGTCTGGTTTTTCTCGGCGACTCCTTCCGCCGCTGAACTTCGCCGCCTCCACCACCAACCCAAACCCGACAACTCTCTCAGCTTTCTCGTCGTCGGAGACTGGGGCAGACAGGGATCTTACAATCAATCTTTCGTCGCCCATCAGGTTAACTATTTCTCCATTCCTGGCTTCTTGCTTCACTTATTTCTCTTTTCCTCTATATATCACTAAATCAAATGATTTCCTTGTTAAAATAACATAAACAATGATTTTAACCCCATCTGGCCTTATTATCACATCTAGTTCTTCTAGGTGACTCTAAACTTGTGCCCCATAAATTCGTAGGAATTTGGTGTTGTTTGAAGTCCTTGAACGATTTCTCATGTCAACCTATGCGTGGCTGATTTTGTTATTTATTTTCATTTGGTGCCATATGTTTTAAAATTTGCTTTATTAGAATTGATGGATTCCTACATCTGCATATAATTTTCATATAATATAGTTAACAAAGGGACTAGTTCATTTTTTAAAAAACAATTAGAATGAAATTTTAAAAATTTTATTTTTAGGAGCCAATTAAAAAGTTTAACAATTTTTTTAAAAAAATTATTAATTTATTTCAACATGCTCGACATGGTTTCTCGAACTGATCATGACAGGTGCGTGCGCTTAGGGATTGAGATAAACAAAATGATTGGTGATTAGTCAATTAATGACTTGTTAAAAATTAATTATTTTGAAACCAGACAACTTTCTGTACCAAACACAACAAGGGGAGTACTCACAATACTATAATATAATAAGAAGCATTTACTTACCTTTAACAAAATTTGGAATATATTTGCATTGGATTTGTGGACAGCAACGACTCGTCGTTTTAAATATCCATCAACCATTCTACTTCTTACTCCTCTCTCCCTTCTTTCCTCTCTCAAAAAACGAAAAATTGAATTCAACTTCTTATAGATATAGATTAGAGTTTCGATTCTTTAAGCAAACAAAAAAATATATATATAAAATCTTGTTGCTGATATAAAATCTGTCAAGAATAAATTCTTGTAAGGCGATTTGATGGCTATTACTATACGTTAAGAACTGTTTTCCCCCTTAATTAAAACGTTGTTTTACATTCATTTTTTAATAAAATATAAAAGCTACTTTATATATGCCCCACTTGATTAATGTTACCGGTGAGTGTATTCGTTCACGCCACGTCACTAATTTTGATTTGATGAAGGCATATATGTGAGAATATTCCAAAAGCTCGAGAAAAAGGTTATGCGCTATGCCATGGAACGCATATAAAATGTAAAATGCTTTACATGCCCTATGACTTTCAATTCATTCTGGACCGGCCACTTTGAATGTGTCGATTTTTCAAATGAGCAATTAGTTTCTGCTTTGGTGACAATGAAAAAAAGAAAATTGTTTGTACGCAAGCTGCTTCCTGATTATATTATACAAGTCATTCTGCTCATATTTCTCACTTTTCTATTGAATTTTAGATACATCATGATTTACTTCTTCTACTTTTTTTAATCTTATATTATTTAAATTTGTCCCGTAAATACCCATAGAAATATTTACAAATTATTTATTAACAGAATCTTGTGAATTGCTTTTTTACCATAAACTTTGTATTTTTTTGTTTTTGGCTAAAAATTTTTTTGACTTGGGTTTTGATAACTTGTCACGATCAGAATATGTTATAACTTAAAAAGTATTTACTAACAGGAGTAGGGTCTAGCGGAAGGAGATAATCCCTCACAACATGGCAAACTAAGGTTTGAATTTTCGTTGGAAAAGGTACTCACATTTAGTACCTGACAGTGTCTCGGATAGGATTGTCTCTATTAGAAGGATACCTATGCTTTAGGGGGAAAAAAAGTATTCATGGAAACATTTACTCCTTTTGTCTTGTTTATAAAGCAGAGAGTGAAAATTTTTCTTAATTCTATTTATAAGCCCCCTCTTTAGTTAACAGAATTTTGACGTGGATCAGTTAGGCGACTCAAATTTTTGTTATTATGGGGGGTGGATTGTTTTTTTAAGCTTTAGTTAACAGAATTTTGATATGGATCAGTTAGGGGACTCAAATTTTCGTTATTATGGGGGGTTGATTGTTTTTTTAAGCAATTAGACAAACCTTTCTTAGCATGATGATGTGTGGGATTTGTGAAGTACTACTATCAAACAATGAGTTATTAGACATATAGATTATATATATACATATATATTGAGATGATGGGTGAAGTAAGAAACATTCATCTATGTGCATCGTACTTACTTTTTAATACTTATGTTAGGAAGAGATATCCGAAAGCATATGCCGATGGACATGAATTGAGATGCGTTGTGAAAGGGTATACTTCTCACCATATTCCATACGCATCTCTTTTTCTTACTCCCCACTCCAACCTTATTGTCCTCATGTTCCATTCCTTCCAAGCCAAATCACCTTCATTTCTCATACCTTTCCAGATAAATAATGAATTCAAAATTTTAGATGAATTTTAATTTCACGTTTCAACTCAAAAATTTGGATTAACGCGTAACCACATGGTAGATGTTGAAATTAATTGCAATGTGTATATGTGGACCTAAAAATGACCCAAATTAAACCCCTCCGTACTCTATGAAAAGACCCACATCTGTTTATCTCACACACATTAAATTGAAGCAAACACAAGGGACCTCTCCATGATTTTGACTTTTATTTGAGGAAATACGTATTCGATTTGATTGATTGTACATTTGTACATATTGATCAATGATGTGGCGTAACTAATAATAGTAGTAGTAGTTAATTTACAAGAGATGCTGTGTATGTGATTAGATGGGAATCGTGGGGGAGAAACTGGACATTGATTTTGTGATATCGACTGGGGATAACTTCTACGAAGATGGCCTCAAAGGAGTGGACGATCCTGCCTTCTATGACTCATTTGTCAACATCTACACAGCTCCCAGCTTGCAAAAACCTTGGTACTCTGGTATCTATCTCCACAACTATTCTAACCTTATATCTTTCATTATTCTCTACAAAATATCATTAATTTCCTCATAACAATGCAAGGGGTCTTTTCTCGTACCACATTCATTTCATTTCCTGATTTTGTTTTTGCAGTTTTGGGCAACCATGACTATAGGGGTGACGTTGAGGCACAATTGAGTCCCGTTCTTAGACATAAAGACAGTAGATGGATTTGCATGAGGTCTTTCATACTCAATGCAGGTAACACTTATAGAATGAAATAAATAAATGAGATGCAAAAAAAAAAAAGAAAACAGAGGGAGAGATATAATGTCTTCATTTTGTCCATTTTACAGAAATTGTGGAGTTTTTCTTTGTGGACACAACTCCGTTTGAAGATGACTACTTTACAGACCCGGGGGAACATACCTATGACTGGAGTGGTGTGCTTCCTCGCCAAGCTTACCTTTCTAATCTCTTGGAGGTTAATCCAAATTTCAAAATCCTCTAATGAGATCCTTTTTAATTAAATTCCACTTGAAAACGTGTGGGATTTAAACTTTGATATTAAGAAATGCAATTTATACCAGTGAGTCCTGATTATGATTCGGGGTTTTTCCTGAAGGAAGTGGATTCAGCTCTGAAGAATTCCAAGGCTACATGGAAGTTGGTGATTGGTCATCATACAATCAAAAGTGCTGGCCATCATGGAAATACACAAGAACTTGAGGCTCAGCTTGTCCCAATCCTTGAGGTAATTTGATCATATTTCAATTATACTAAAAACATATGTAATTTGAGTATTTCTTTAAGAATTTGATAGAGTACAGAAGCTCACAGTTTGCCAGACTCCAGGCCCTATAGCCTTTATCTTCCTTACTCATGTTGAGCGTTTTTTCCCCCCCCCCCAGATATTCAGAGAATTTAAATTCACAGGAATCTAATTTCAGATCAGATTGTCCACTGATTGACTAGCTAAATTCAATATAATTTTCAACTCCCTAACAAAGTATAAAAGAGTTGCAGTGAGAATAGTTTTGTTGACGTACAGTTCCTTTTATGATTGTCTAGGCAAATGACGTTGATGCGTACATAAATGGACATGACCACTGCTTGGAGCATATAATTGACTCAGAAAGGTAACCATAGTTATAGTTAACTGCAAGTGGTGACTCCAACATTATCATAATCATTATTCTGAAACTCGAATAACCTATGTTCTTTGTGTGTGCCTCTGTGCCTCTGTGTGTGTGTGTGTGTGTGTGTGTGTGTGTGTGTGTGTGAATGCAGTGGGATTCAGTACTTGACGAGCGGAGGGGGATCAAAAGCATGGAGGGGTGATGTCGGGCCTTGGAACACTAAGGAATTGAAGCTGTATTATGATGGTCAAGGATTCTTGTCCGTCCACCTCACCCAAAGCCAGGCATACTTTGTATTCTATGATGTTTTTGGCAAGGTCTTACACAAATGGACCATCTCCAAAAACCTTAACCCATCAGCTTAGAAATCTGTTTACTTGTAAAGCTTAGAATTGGTACCAGAAAGCAAAAGGGAGATATGTTTGGGAGTATTTGACGGCATATATGCTTCCTCGTTAAGTAATTCTTTTCAAAATAAAATTACTGGACTGATATGAATTTGCAGCGTAAGCGTACCAAATCGATAAGCACACTAGTCTTTCAAAGATCAAAGTAGTAATTTTGTCCTCTCTTTAAAAGATTGGGTTTGTGCGGGTGACTCAGACTCTGTCACCAGCTTTTGCCATAAAAGTTTGATTGAGGCGCCAACAAACTGCTACAGTTTCCACGCCAAAAAGACACAAGTAAATTCAAAATTTGATGGATCAAAGCAAACTCATCAAGTCAAGCAAATTTCCCTTTGCTAGCCAGCCAGCTAGACTGCTTTGAGCTTTCTATATAATTTCACCCTTATTCTGTGTTCAGGTGTCATCTCTTTGAGCTCCAATTAATCAGTTAATACTACAGGAGCAAGTCTAGCTTTCTCACACAAAAAAGAAAAAAAATATAAAAAAATAAAAAGAAAAGTAAAATAAGAGAAACGGATAGATTCCACATCCAGCTCAGATATTTAGCATTAGCATTCTTCATCTAACATCTACTCACCCAAAAAAAGAAAAGAAAAGTCATGAACACTATTCACCCACTTGCACGTTATACATGGATTGGTGAGATTTCCAGTAAGGTAACTGCAAATGAATTTGTTTGATTAAGGTCGAGGTATAATCTTCCCATGCGTTAATTGCAGCCACAATTCCTTTCCAGTCGAAGCAAATGCTTACACTCTCTTCGGAAATGCGACTGAAAACCCTGGCCACCAACCCAGGATCGCTTAGAACTACAGAGTTAAGGCCATTGATTTTCTGCCTTTGCAATTCTGACAGTTTTGTTATCTTCTTGTCTATAGTTGCTTCCCTAGTTTGCAAAGTAGATGCTTTCCAAAGATAGAAATGTACAACCTGTTCAGCAGAAGAACTGAAATCAGAGTGCTTCTAACACATCTTACTATTTTCTCGCTGATAAATATGAAAACCTATCACTCCACCGAAGGGATTCTCCATTTTGGCAAACTGTTAGTTTCCCCCAGCACTATATGAGGACTAGTAGTGCATTAAAAAATTCATCGTCACTTCTTTCCATTTGTTATAATTTCAGCCAATATTAATAAACATGACAAAATGTACTCAATTAAATGAAGTACCTGAAGCACATGCAAGATGTTGACAAATTCCTGCTCTAACATCTCACTTCCCCTCACTAATTGTACTGGCTTGATCAAGAATTCTGAGACATCAGAATCACAGTCATCGTCTTGTGAAAGGTATATGTCATATCCAAGAATTTGCAGTCTCGCCCAACATATATTGAAACCCAACTGTTGACTGGAACCTTGTTCCCCAGAAAACCAGTACATATTACAGGATGCAGGCAAGGGTAGGCTGGGAACCGCCATTTTGTCATGTAATAGGTTCTGTGAGAGAAGAGAAATAAGCTTTGCATCCTCATCATGAGAACCATCACGACTGAACCATAAAGTGAGCGTCAGCCTTTCTCCATCAATGATCTATCAAAGATAACCTCAGATCAGAAGACATTAAGATGCGTATTTATATATTCTACATGCAAAGATGATCACTACAGTGTAACCCTGAGAATCAAAATGTCAAAGTAACAACAACATTAATTTTTAAAAACCAAAGACTGAAAGTTCAATAATCTTATATTCAATCAGCATGATATTAAAACCAAAGTTTGTCAACCATTTTAATATAACAAGATATGCCTCAGAATGTAAGAGATTGTGAGACTCAATGGACATAGATGATGCAATTCTGAACATTCCATTTATATAAAGGACCAAATTCGGGCTAAACATGGATTAAAGCTCCAGGAAAGTATTAAAATGAGTGGAGAAAATAAATGCTAGCATGTATCAAAATAATAATTGAACTTCATACCAATTTGAAAAATAAAACAATTAATTGAAAATTATGTGCGTAAAGCACCCATATAACGGCTCTTCTTGTGAAAAATAAGGTGTTGGGAATGCATTAATCATGATGAACTATTAATTGAAATTTTGGGATGCAAGAAGTGGTGAAATTGTACAAGTCCAATCATGTGTGAGCCTCCACAAGAAAATATGTGCTGTTCTTTTATTCTGTTTCCCTTTATTTCTCTTCCATTTTCCCTCGAGGGGCAGGAGAGCCAGGGAGATCTGGACCTTATAAAAAATTGATATGTGGAATAACAAAGCTAGTTACATGTATTGTTGAGTAGGTTCGTGAGAAGGGAGCTACTGTCCTCTACCTCATCAACAGAATGAATGTTGCGATGATCAGCTGTGTACATAACAACATCCTAAGAACGAAAAAAATAAGGTTAGAAAATTCATCTTTCTCTCCTTGACTAGAAGTCAAATAAGAGAAAGACTTATTGTTATTATTTGCATTATAAAATTAAGACATGATCAATAGTTAATTCAGTCATGAATTTATGTAGCTATTAAGAAAATTAAAAGAGAAAAGCAAATAAAATTTCATAAGAAAACACAAAAGGATTTCACCCACTCCAGCCATGGGCATAATTGATGTTGGTTCGCCTTCCTGGAAATGAAAGAGCCCACCGCTGAAATCTGCCCCATAGCTATTTAAATAGCATACTGCCTTTCAAGACATTGCCAACAGAAACAGCTCTCAGTCATCAGTCAGAGTAAACTGGACAAATAAATTTACTTCAAAAGTGAACTAAATTGGACAACTTGCTGCATACTCACCGCATAGTCACGTTGTTTGAGGTAGGGCCTGTTATCATCACTATGCCAGCCAATACTTGATCCTTTAGTCCAGCTGGTTCATTTATATAGTATTATCAGACAAACTAACTGACACGATCAAAGAACAACATTTCACAAGCAGTTCATATTACATTGGAAAATTGGAGCCATCAAGCACTACGTTGGAAAGTCAAATCCCCTTTAAGTGCATTTCATGGAAAATATACAGTTCCTACAACCTGAGAGAACCACCGGACACACTTAGAGCAAGATTGAAATTTCTTCATAAATAGTACAGCACTCAGTTAATGGAGATGCAATAATTTTACCCCCGAGCAGTCAGTTGGAATTTATAAGCCCCATATTCTATAGTTCCTTATCTTTGTGAAAGATTAGGTAGTCGTAAGCGGCGAATAACTCAGTCTTCTTCTTTGCTTTCAATTTTGGCAATATTCTGTGACTGCACTTTCATAGTCTTCAACATCAAAAATGAACCATTCCTCAAGCCTAAATTAGTTTTTTTAGCCATCAGTTCTACCTATCACTTTAAATTTATAAGTTTAGTTGTTAGAGTTGATTATTGTTCCTTTCATATAATTACAAATGTCAAATACACATTACAAAGTCCACTGAATTTTAAGTGCACGGGAACTGGGAACTGTTTCTTTGTCCACATGAATAACATTCTTTAGCCTTCATTTAAACTTTAGGAAGTTTACTGAAGCAAGCCTTCAAAAGTTAGGGTTACATGTATGCATCTGGAATTAATAGAATAGAAGAAGTGCTATTGTCAGTTTCCTAGCAACAAGAGAAGGCACCAAACTACCTAATTCATGCTATTTTAACAAGCTAACTAACCTGATTAAGCCTGTAAATTCAGTGAAGAGTTCATACTCACATCCAAAAAATTCCTCGAGCTTATCTTTCAACCTTTCTGTCATAAAAGTCGAACAAATAAATAAATCAGATTTAAAAAAGCATCATATAAACTCAGAACAAATAGGAAACATACATCTCTTGCAGCAAATTTCAAGGACATTAAGTGAATTCTGAATTGCGAAAGAAACATACATGCTACCAACTGCAATGGATTTCAAAAGCAGCAAAAAAAAAGAAGAAAAAAAAGGTATCTTGTTTTATTGTTTGTCTTGTAACAATCCGATGCCATGCTGTCAGTATAAACAGACATAGAAACTGGGAAGTTATCTGTTCAGATTTGCATACTTATCGCCCTTGGCTAAGTAAAGATTCTAATTATTAGCACAGTCAAATAGCAGAAATCAAATTTATCATCTTCAATAGGCGGCTTCCTTTAGCACTTTAGAAGGTGATTGCCAGCGGAATAAAATAAGTCAATTTGCCAATTCTAATCAAACTCAACCATGTGAAGTCTAATTGATAAAAGCAAGCATATTTTATCATCAGCTCTTGGCTACAAGATATATATGTAGTTCATCTTCAAGAATTTCTAAAGAGCAGAAGAATAATGAAACAGCGGTCACCATCTGCATATACGATAGTAAAAACCCAGAAAGAGAGAGGCGAAGGACAACAGAGAATTTAAAACAAAAGGGTAGTGGGAGAATCAACGATATCGAATCAAATAAATACCGCGAATAGGTATGAAAGGCATGATCAAGTGAGACGAATTGGTAGCAATGAGATGGGAAAGAGTAGTTGAGAAAACATTTGGTCTATAGCCGACAGTGCTGCAACTCTTGTGGATGAATTCCAGCTCCTAGAGAGAAATCAGAACCACCCACAAAATCAACAGGAGAAGAAAAAGGAGTCAGAAGGATGAAAAAGACGAAGGGCAAATGTTTAAGGAGACAGACCTTGCATTCATCAAAGGAGAGAAAATTGGAGATGATCAGACGCGGGTGTTCAAGGTCCGGCATTAGAGTTCACACTCGCGGACAAACCGGCCTAGCAGCTTGGAGCCAGTTGATCCTGCCGCTTCGCTTTTCTTCGTCTTCTTTTTCCGGTTTTTTGGGTGGTGAAATGCCGCCGGGCGTTTATGCACTGAAGTGGCATGAATTTTTTTTCTTGATACGCGCGTAAATATCGCATGTTAGAGGTAATCTTATACAAGATTACTGTCACATACAGTCTACCACCTCCGATCCTAAGAATCAGTAGATTAATTTGAAAAAATTAAAAAAAATAAATTTAATTAATTATTTATAATGAATAGATGTTATTTTTTTTAAAATATCTTTGCTAATCAAATGTATTGGTTAGAAGAATGATTGTCTTAAAAAAAAATATAAATATAAGAGACAAAATAGATTGAGATCTTGTATTTAAAAACAAAATAAAAGAAACAAGATATTATATTAAAAAGTAGAGATAGTATTAAATATGAACATTTTTTCTAAAAAAAACTTGATTCTTAATTCATCGCTGGTCAAAAAGGAATCTTAATTCATCATTTATGAGTAATTAACCCTGGATGCATCCCGTTTCTAGGTAGCATGAAATTTAGGAAAGTCAGGTAGAGCATCCAGGCCCAAAAAGAAGGAAGAAGAATGATACACACTTCGTTTTTGGCCACCATACTACTATTATATAACCATTTGAGTCCCTTTACATAATTGACCGGGAAAAAAAAAAAAAGAGTCCCTTTACACAATTGACAGGGAAAAAAAAAAAAAGGAGTCCCTTTACACAATGAGGGGGGGAGGATCAAAGGAGCCAAGTACTAGTAAAAGCCATATGAGAATTACACATTATCAATGAACTGAATAACAAAAAATATTGAAAATTCGATTAAAAGTGATGCACCACTCGAATCAGCTAATAAATAAAACGAGAAATTATTTCTTTAAAAAAGGGGTCAGTCAAAATAAAATGTTTCATAATTTATAATGCTACAAATATAGATCATGTTTATTTTAAGGGTTGATTTTGTCGTCATCCCACGCATCAGTGTTTACTACTTTACCTTGCACAGGAGGATAATAACCCTTACCGCCTGGTTAACGAAGTCTTAGCTTTGAGTGAGCATATTGTACAAGCAAGAGATTTTTTTGTTTATGTGCATCTTGCCTAACTCTCTAGATTGACCCTCTGTTTTTATTTTTTTGGGTGAAAAGATTGACTCTGTTTTTGTAGCTTGTCACTTTGCTTGTAAATAGTTACTATCAGTAAATTACCTCTTTTCACTCAAAAAAAACAAACCATGTTTACCGTTTAGGATATAATTTAATGAGAGGTTAAATTAAGAAGTATTCTATTAACAAATTTAAGAAAAATAATAATACAAGAATCAATTTCAAAATTGTTTTACCCAGTAGTCTGATAAGTTATATCCTGACCTAAGCAAGCTTTTTTTGCCCCCAAAAATCGCATCATCCCAGACATTAATATAGCTAAGGTAAGAGAAAACTATTATTTTCTTTTCTTTTTATTTTTTTTGGGAGAAGACAGTAAAGTCCCAGAGAGCAAGGCGGTGAGAGGAATTTGTGGCCAATTTTATACTCCTCTAGTCATTTATAAGGCATCGAAAAAAAATCTTATATGAATGTATAATTTTACCTGTGTGTTAATTTTGTTTACACAAGATATAGTATATATTAAATGTGAATAAAATTAAAAAATTATTAAATTTTAAATAAGAGTTAATAAAATTTAAAGTTTTCTTTAGTCTATGTAAGATATACCGAAAGCAATTTATAAATAAGACTAAAAGTTGACCCAAAAAAAAAAAAAGGACCAAAGGAGTATTTTGCAGGCACAAAGAACTCAGTTCAAGAAGCCAATTGGCTCATTTTGACCCAGTGGTTTTCCGAGGTGTATAGATTCTCCATTAACAATTGGGTAATTCTTCAGTTAGCTTTTTCACCGTTAGATGCGCTTCGAACTTCTCGATTAACCAATTAATTAAATCGTTAGAGAAAAATCTCAAAGCACATCTAACGATTAAAAACGCTCCACATCTTACAAGGTCCATAAAATGGTCCTGAATCTGCACTCTGTTGCAATACCCCTTGCTGTTAAAAGGAAAAAAAAAAAAAAAACCTGCAGGTTGAAGAGAGTGCACCGGGGAAAACCGAAATTAAATGCAAAATGATTGAGAAAATTTTGAACGTAGTAAAGTCAAAATCAGAATTAAGAATGGGTTTTCCCTTGCTGTTAAAAGAGTTGATATAACAAGACAACAAAAAAGCACAGGAGCATACAAGGATTTTGAAGAGAACCAAAATGTTCTTCCTCCTTCCCTTGTTCTCCTCTGCCGTATGGTGATGATACCTTGAATGTTGCCGCTCTTTACATTTGCTTTAAACTCATAGTAAGTTCGCAGCCTACCCCTTTCCTGTGAGAAGCTTTCCTTCCTATCTCTCCCTCTCTCTCTCCCTTTACCTCTAATCCGGTCCAGCCTAATGGCTTACCACAACTTTGTCATTGCTTTCCTGCTCTTTCTCAACAGCCTGTTCTCCTTCAGATTCACCCACGGTTCCATTTTCATTGCATTCTTGCCTTTGCATCTGTCCATCCATTGTTGCTGTTGGGGAAGCACTCGCATTGTTATGATTAGACTTCCCGTTTTCTTTTTCTGGTAGGGTTGCATTCTCTACACTAGAGTTCATCTCGATCAAGGTAGCTGATAATGCTTGAGACGAATTGCCCGAGCCTGGCGGAGGAAGGAAGACGCCAGTGCCAGGAACAGGAATTCGGGGAGGAGGATGCCGAGGAGGAGCTGCTGTCCATCCAGTAGAACCTGGTGGGATAGGAACTGGTGCAGGAAATGGCATGGGAGGTGCAACTTGCGCAGGCACAAACAATGGCTGTATGCCATTTGGAGGTGGAATTTGTGCACGAATTGGTGGGGCTGGCAATACTCCAGTTGTTGGAGCTGGCGCATAATGCTTGGGGCCTAAATGATGACGTACATGATTGGATGATCTGCTTGGTGGTGGACCCCAATGAGAGGATGCAGATGAAGCAAGACGCTGAGCATCACTGGGCATTGATTTTCTTGGTTGGGACTTGGTGAAAGTAACAAGTATGCGTTGTTTGCGAATGGAGGGAAGGGCATGTCGAGCAAAATCAGCAGACTTTCCTTGCATTGCCAGAAGGGACCTATAGTTGCCAAAGTAAGATTTACATCAGCTATCCAGCATGTAATCAAGATCATAAAAGATGAATCTCAAAATAAAAGAAAAATATGTCACAGCTTGAGCCCACGATGAATTCCAAGCATGCCTATGAAGGGTTTCCAACCATAATAGCCATATGCAATGTATTTGTAGTTACTCACTCAAATAAGGACCAACTGAAAGGCTTCAAATTCTGATGGCACAATAATGACTATCACAATTCAGGATAGCAAGAAACCTCACGATCACTTGAGAACTCTCATGTGAATACCCAAGTATGAAGTTTATATATGAATTAATTATTTTATATCACAAGATATGATAAAAAAGGAGAGGAGTACAGATCCTTTGATTCTTTAATCTTCAAGATGGTGTTTCCCAAGAACTGGGTGCATCTCAATGCAGATAACTTTCATCTGAATACCTCTACTATGTCACTATGAACTCAACTAGATCAAACCATGAATTACCTATAACACAAGTAATAAAAAACCGACAAGGTTGTCAAACATTACCCAGGTACAAGAGAAAGCTTGAAAGTGCCCCTATAATCCCCGGGATGGTCAGAGGCAATAAGTCTCCCAAATGTCATGTCACATTCTGTCAGGAAAAGGACGCAAACAGGCCTTCCAAACCAAGGTGGCCAATTGTAAGGCTGCGAGTGATCACCCTGGACAATTGCCACGCCATGTGGCTTTAGCAAATTCCATATAAAAACTTCATGAAAGACAAAACCCAGAAGGAGGGAAAAAAAAGAATCAACCTCATTGTAAAAATCCACAATGCAAGCATCAGGCTTCACGGTCATAACTTGTGAGGCTACCAAGCGCTCAATAATATCTTGAAACGAGGCAGGGATAGATTCTACTTTTTTATCTGCTAAATTCAATTATTGAAACTTCGTCAATAATCATTATAACAATAAAACATCACACAAATTGTAAATTATAGCCTAGTTCAACTTTGAATGAAAATCACATCTGTTAACATGCCTTTGGAGGCTCCGGTCAGATTTTCCCCATCTGGTGGTGCATCAGCAATAGGGACACCCAACTGAATTATCTCCCTTCCACGACCTTTCATAGGCCTCTTTGAAATCACATATGTCTGTGTTCCTGCTTATAAATAATGGCTAGTAACTGATAGTAATGAATCAACAACCTAACCTATGTATAATCCATAAAATGCTGACAAAAGAACAAGATGATTTCATAGTAGGATGCTGTGAAATACAGAGGAATAGAGCATCAACAAGTATGCTTAAGAAGGTTCTGTTTCGCTTATGTTTGGAAGCAGCATGCAAGTATCAGCAGGTCGATGCCTAAGGCGCATGCCTTTAATGATGGAAAAGGCACAAAAGGTGCTCACCTTTTGGCTCCTCACTGATGGGACCTATTTAACACCTCACCTCGGCACCTACTACACCAGGCCACTACTTTAAATGCATATTTTAACATCATAATCATGGAAATATTTATTATAATCTTTAATACGCCCCCTCAAATTAAAAATCCTTGGAATTTTACGTGCAGAGAAAGCACAAGTATATTATGCCTTGTGCTGAAAATTCAATTAGAAGAATGGAAATGTGATGAGAATAACACCTAATCACTTAGTGGCATAGACTGTAATACTAATACCACGTGAAAACTGCTTAAAATCAAAAGCTTGAGCGTTCAAGCAAAGACCCATGCATTTCCATGCCCAAGAGAACAGAAGAGAAACTTCCAGATCAGAATAATTAAAAACCCTTTTTTTGATGCATTTTTCTATATATATATATATCACTTCCTCCTTTTATTTCTTCTAAGACAACCTTCTGAATGACACCCTAATGCCTAAGATTTTGGGGGCCCTCGATAGCGTATCCCATCCCAAGACATGTTACAGTACACAAATGTTGAAAATATAAAACATTCACAAGTACCTTAGAACAGAAAACACTTACCTTGATATTGTCCTCTTTTTCCAGCGGCCCTCATTTCATTTACCAGGGAAACAAGTTTTGAGACTTCATTGCCATCGCACAAATCTTCATATAATTTCAGTCCATCAACCACATTCACCTAAAAATGAAAAATATGCCCACCTTACAAGTCAAATATAAAAAGTTGAAGAAGAAATGCAAAAAAATCATTCGTATAAAAATATATAACAAGAAAATGATGTAAAGAAAAATAAAGAAACATTTAAGAAAGAAATACCGTTTTCCCATCAAACATCTCGTTGCCAACAAAAGTCTTTGCCTGGTTCTGATGATGATTTTGCGAAAAATGCAAGTCATCCTCTGGAAACAGAATGAACTTTTTAAGTTAAAAAGACAAACGTGTGTGTGTATGTGCACGCATTAAAAATGCCTTTTAAAAGACTCTAAATACTAAAATCTAGAGAGTGTATAAGCTGACTATCATCCTACAGGACTATGTGACTCTCTGTGTATGGTTGAGAAAGAAATTGTGTCACTGTGCAAATTTGCAGCTACATCCTATGCATGAGACAAACAGAAGGAAGCAGGGAGCAGAGCTGTGTTTAATGTACAGCTTATAAAATCCATGCACACAATTAGCATGGCTGGGCTTTCTTTCCTTGAAGTGAAACAAACTGACAAGATATTTTCTCTTTAATCATAGCAGAAGTAAGAAAACCTTTAGAATCTGATACAATTACGTCATTTACAACCACAGCTTCAGATTCTGAGTTAGACAGAGATCCCGTGGAATGCCCGGAGCTTTTCAAGCTTCCATCATTTTGAAGCTTTGTTATAACATCTGCTACAACCATATGTGCAAAATAGTCAACATTCCCACAGTGAAACACAAGTGTACAACATTAATCTGAGTGTAAAATTTATTCATAAGGTTGGTCAGCAGCTACAAAATGTGATACTATTTCTAGCAAGCCAGAAAGGGAGGACGGTGAATCCAAGTGCTTCAAAGGAAACAAGCAGGAGATCGTCCATGAATTGCGTTTTATTTTGCCATAAAATCCTATATGATCATACATTACTAGTCTTTCTACTACATCTGATATTTCCCCTAATCTCTACTATATTATATTCTTCAATTCCTCTGTAATCCAGTCCACATCAGTACCTGCTATTTAGTTACATGCTTACACAGGCGTAAAATGATCAGATAATCTCCAATACACGATCCACAAAAGTAGCCATCAAGTTCACCTATCATTATTGGTATACCGATTACATCAAGCAGATTAACATCTGAAAGACGAAAAGTGAAAAGGACAAAAATAGAGAAAGTGAATTGAAAAAGGACCATCTTAAATCACAATGTTGCACTCAAAATTATGATACCGACATTCAAAATAAATACAAGTCCAATTCAATTATTTTACGCACTATTACGTCAAACCAATAACTCCGAGTGCATCAAAACTCAATCATTTATCTCTGTATTTAAATCACATTTCAAGTATGATAGATTCCAACTTGGTACAGTCACAAATATGTAACCATCAGCTCAACAGGCCGACATATACAACCAGATCCAGGATTCACACTGTGATATAACCCCATCAATTACCTTTTTTTTCCTCAGACGACGCTAAACTCTTGTCATCCATCTTGCCAGACTTGCCACCTGATTTATGTTCTTCTTGTTTGTCAGTTAGTGGAGCCCCTTTGTCAGGGCCTTCATTAACTACGGAATTGCCTTCGTGACTGAAAGATTCCACATTGGAATTATGCCCTTCCTTTGCTGCCTCAAACCTCTGCCCCTGTTGCTTATTATAACCAGAACCAGATTTCTTGTATTCCTTCGCTCCCACTTTCACTGGATCCAGATATCTCTGTTGCCTCCTCCATGCTACTTGCTGGAGTGCATATACCACTTCCGCCACCGAAAAGTATTGCTGCATAATAAGCACCTGATTCCAATTGCACCGCCTTTGCTGAATGGTCCCAATGACCATGTCATACTCACCCGGGTCACCAATTGCCCGTAAATGGTGACAAAGAGAGTCTATAATTGCATTTGCAGCAGCGAATTCGCTGCGCAGCCAACTGATAAACCCCTCCCGTTCATCGACCAACCATTGTTGGCGGTAGGGATGCTGATGAATCTCACTGCCTCCACTGCCAGCCCCGCCACCGCCACCGCTTGGAAACTGCATTTTGTCTGGAATTACCACATTTCCCGATGGCATTGCCATGAGTTCTCGCTACCAAGACACCACTACAACCACGTATAAAGCATACCCAAAACAAGCAGATCTGGGCAGAGTAAGAGCGCCTATATTCTAAATTTAGAACAATTCAAGTGTATCCGAGAGAAGCAAACACAAAATTCAGAACAATTAAACTTAAAAGCAGCAAAATTCTTCAGAATTACGTCTATCCCAACAATAAATAAGTGCGAATTCGGGCCGATAAAACTAGACAACTGGAAAACGTATACAGTTTTAGTCTTAAATTAACCAAGGCGATCGGCCAAGATTGCTGAACTGGGTTAAGAAACAAGTTGGAGGTGAGGAAAAGTTGTGAAATTGAGATGGTAAATAGCCTTAAAAATCATTCAGATCTGACAATGGGGTTCCAAGAGCGGGATTACAGGAGCAATAGAGTTCTTTTGTGAGTGCGAGATTGTTGAGTTAGAGTGACGCAAAGGAAGGAGCTTCAAGGGTAAGAATGTAAGATCTAGGGTTAAAGGAAGAAACTTGTTGTGCGTGGGCGTGAATGATGAGAATTGAAGGTGAAATTAGAGAAATGGCTTATTCAGCACGCATGTGTATGGTCTTAAATGGTGGCCGTAAACTCCCTCTTTCTCTCTCTTCCCCCCCTTCCCCTGCCCTCACTCTCTTATTTGTTGTTCTCCCTCTGGATCAGTGTGTGGATCGGATCGACGACGAATATCCTTGACGGTAAGGCCATTTTAGTATTTTCACTTGTTTATTTACCCTCTCCTCCTTCATAATCTTCACTTTAATTAAATTTTAACCCAAAATATTAATATTAAGCAAACTTGATTAGTTATATATTTAACTCAAATAAATTTAAAGAGTAATACTACCGTCACTCCTTAATATAAGATTTTTATTTTGATCCTAAATATAAAACCTCAATTCACTTTATATATCTTTTTTTTAAAGATAATTCTTGTAATAATAAAGTTCTAAGTAATACACTTGATTAGTAAGGATTTTTTTTTGCCTAAGATTAGTAAGGATATTTTAGGAAAGACAACGCCTATTTATTATAAATAAGTAACTTAACCAGTTTTTTTAATCTAATTGAATTAGTCAATTAGTTCTTATATTAAAAATTGAAAGTACTATTGAACTACTTAGCTTATCCATCCCACAACTTGAAAACTAGTACTACCTCTGGTCCTTAATATAAGATTTCATTTAACTTCTATTTTAGTCCTAACTATAAGACCTCAATCTACTTTGTCTCTTATATTTATGTATTTTTTCCATAATAGTCCTTCCAATAATGGTAATTCCAGCTAATACACTTGATTAGCAAAGGTATTTTAGGAAAGACAACACTTATTTATTACAAATAACTAACTTAACTTATTTTTTTAATCTTTTCAAATTAATCAATTAGTTCTTATAATTAGAACCGGGAGTAAGTAATTCATATCATTCCAGTTTTATCAGATCTCACGAAGGGACAAATTGGAAACGAGCTGGGGCCGAAGGATCCGAGTTGTTTATCAAAAGGGTTGCCAGGACACAAGTGAAAAACAGGCGGCTAAGATTACTTAAAATTTATATGCAATGTTTTTGTGATAAATTATGGTTAAAGCTTTCTAATTTAAAAGAGTAATGTTTCTTTGGACCTGAAATAGCGTTCAAAATAGTTTTCGAGTGCGTTAGAATAGAACATTTGTTCAGCATCTGTTGATTTTCTTTTTAAAAAAATCCATATTCATTTGCTGAAAATTAATAATTTTTTTTGCCGGCAAATCAAATTTACGAAGGCTGAAATCTAAGATGACTAAATTTCGACATTTGTTCCCAGACGGACCATATTTGCCTATTTGGAAGTGTATAACTATGTTAGCTAAGATAAAGCTTTTTTTTTAGCATATTTACTCTGGACCATGTAAGTTTCAATTAAAAAAATTATTTTTAAAAATTCTAATTATCATTCCAAACAAATTCTTAATCCCTTACTTCAGTGCATCTTTTTTTTTTTTTTGCATAAATATCTAATTGAGTTAGATTCAAATATTGTTACGTGTAATTAAGAGTAATTCTTTCAAAAATGTTTTATGTATTCGTGCGAATTCATATTCATGTACTTAAGTGACCAAACTCTCATATGATTTCAAATTTTGATAATAAACTATGGACAAAACTTTGATATGTGTCCTACTTTTTAATAAAATCATTTAATGCTAACCACGCATAGAAAAAATAGGGCACATAATAAAGTATGATAAGAAATCAGAACTTCAAACAGTGACTATAAAGTAATTGACATAAAAATTGGCCATAAATTTTTTTTTTTTTTATATGTTTGGCACTAAAGTGGGGGGAAGCTGGCTATCTAGGACTAACTTAGGTAGCATTTAGGGGTACAAATAGAAATTAAAGATTCAAACATCCCCAATATACCTAAAAAGATATGCTTTTATGGTTATTTCTTATCTGCAGTGATATGGTGATCTTGCATTGTATTCTGGCTCAATAATGTGTTTGTGTAAAAAATACAGTACCAAGATTTTGTTCTAAAATTGTCTATAAACATTCCATTCATGAAGGTCGTCTATTTAACATGCAGTACCGTAGTCCTGTGAATATCTGATATGCAAAAAAAAATTTCAAAGGACTAATAATTCGTTGATTACACATATCAATATTTAACAAACATATGTATTTCATATATAGTACTTTTTTTTTTTTTAATGAAATATGCATGCACACACATGTACTATCCTCTAAATTTTCAAAAATAAGTGTGTATAACCATTATATTACCTCAAGTCCTAATTATAAGATCTCATTTATAGTCTATAAATAAGATTTTATAATTAAAACAAAAGGTAGTATTAATAAATATCCCATGGATGCATTGCAATATTGCATTGTGTGTGCGTGCTGCTTTGAAATCTCCATGCACTTTTTATACGATCAATTTTTTTTGCCATATCCTTTGGGGTAAATTGAGATTAGATCTTCTAACTCAAAATAGTCATATTTCTAGAAAATCCAAAATAGCATTCAAAAGGGCGTTATTTAGAAGTACTACAATATAAAAAAACAGTTGTTTAAAACAGAATTCTAATAAGATTCTAAGAAAGAAAAATAATTATAAAATAAATCTCAAAAGTTGTTATTTTTATTTTAAAATTTATCACTACAAATTATTTAAATTGTTATTAAAATTTTTAGTAATTTTTTAAAAAATTTATTTGTAATTCTTGCAAATAAATGAATAATACATTCATTTGAATGGTTGAGAAGGCTGGAACCATTCAACAAATGAATATATTAATATTTTGGGGAAAAAAATTATTAAGTCGGTCATTTAGTGCGTCTAATGAATTGAAACGAGCTCGGTGGATGATGTGTCAGGACCGTGCGGAGGGCTAAAAAGAATTTTTCCTTTTTCGTTACCAGCAAGGCTAAAAAGAACTGAATGTTTTATTCAAAAGGCTGACGCGATGTGATTTGAACATAACAGCTAAGGTCAATGGGATTATTTAAGATCTTCATGCACGTTTTTTTTTTTTGGAGTGAAGTTTCATGCACGTTTTCCCGGATAAAGTGTTTTAGCCATTTTATGTGATGAGCTTAAGAAACTAGATCTTCTGTATTTTTTTAAGATCTATATTGGCATTAAAAAATGAATTAGAATAGTTTTTGAAGTGCAATGTAAGCCTTTAATGCAATGATATGTTGGCTTAAAGAAACTAACATCATAAAATATTTTTTAATCCAATAATAATTAGACTGAGTGAAAATAATCTAATTAAATAAAGTTGCAAATTTGATTATTGTATATGTAAATGGTACGTTTATAAGTTAAAATTGAGAGGGATGGATTCCACACGGTGACGTAGTAAAGTGATGAGATGATTCCCATACTGAGAAATCTGTAATGTAATTTTCTTAAGTAACTATTTTTTATCATTAAATTTATCCACATTCAAGGAATATATAGCACATTTGCTTAGAGAGATAATATAATAGTAACAATATTAACATTCATTCGGATTGATGGAGACACATACACAGTTATTCTCTTATTAGAATTATTATTAACACTAAATGTACACATCTCTTTCAACATGATTTAATATTTATTGTTTTTTTCTATCAGGCACAGGTTATTTTTATTAAAAATAATTGCGTTCGAACCGCTAAATATAAATATTTTTTTTTAGTGATAATGCAAACTTTGGTTCCCTGCTAATTCCTAATTCCGTTCCTTAGATTTAACTACCCTTGGTCAACACTCATTATTCATTCTCAGATCCTCCGAAAGAGCCCCCATGGACCCGGTCCATTGTTCTGACACGGAGAGCGTTTCATTTTATTTTTGCATCAATTATTTTAAAATTGTTATTTATAAATAAAGTGAGTTATTTAAACTGCAATATAGAAGGAAAAAACTCTAAAACAAAATATATTTTTAAAATTTCAGTTTATATGGGTATAGTAATTTATGAAATAAAATAGTCATTGTCTGAAAAAACAGGCTGTCGTTGTATTTAAGTAGAATTGAGGCAATCAAATTATAAAATAAAATAATTTAATATTTATGTTTTTCACATAGATGCGTTGTTATTTACTTTTATCTCCTAAACACTACAGGAGTACAGGCATGCACAAAAAATATGATTATATTTTTTTCCTTTTTATAATCATTTATTTGTAATTGCTTATACAATTAAACCTTAGGCTTTGTAAAATTTTACTTCTTATATGATTATTAATCTATAATATTTCCTTTATTAATTTGCAATGCCTTTGGTGTAAAATTTCCAACCCTTCTTGTCTATATTTGTAAAACTGAATTCATTAAAATCTTCTCTCCTCTCCTTTTATTTCGCTTTGATATTTTCGTACATCACGCCAAACATAGAATTTAACTTCTTATATCAAACCTGGTAAAATTATTGACGTGGATTAATTTTAGATACATGAATAGAAATTTCACGAACCACCCTTGTAATTATAATTCTTTTTATATTTTGCGTTTATTATAATAAATGTTTTATAATTACATTTTGAAAATAATATTTGTATCTTGTATAAATTGTGTCCACAGTACTAGGGAATTTTTCTGATGCGCCGCTGAATTCCTCACTTGCCGCCAGAGGACGGGAGACTTTTTGGATTCAGGTGCATCTTCTTCATTCCTATTTCTTCTCTTTCGATCTTGAAAATGATGCATCCTTCTCTACCTACTATTTAGCGGGCTTAATTGCTGATTTTACTTGAAATATTCCACCTATAAGCAAGCTTATCACTCATCAGTCTGAGAAGGTTCGCATTTTGCGGTAATTGGTAATTGAACGAGATGCTCTGTGCTCACCTTGCGGTTCCATATGCAGCGAGATTCTCTGCTGTAGAAGTTCCAGAGAATCGATCCATTGACCGTTGGAAGCTTTGCATTTTGCATAATCGTATGAACTTAGTACATGTTCTACTGGTTTTGTTGGCTTTGCACGGTCACTCGATTAGCTCACATACGGTGTTGAGTTGTTTCTGTTATGATTATTGTTTGACTGTTTGTTGTATTGGTTCTGAGTTAGATTAATAGGTGCTTCACATTGGTGAACTGCACATGCGTTGGTGGGTTCTAAATTGTTACTTTGCATTGCTGCATTATTGGTCTTTCGGTCCCTCGTGTTGGCTCTGAATTGCATTATTGGTAAATTGCACATCATAATAACATACATTGAATTTGCATCTTTCACTTTCCAGCTTCCTCAGACAGGCGACTACGTGTTCACCGACTATTTGGCTGATCAGCGCCTGAATTCCAGAATCTAGTGGAATTGTTGAATCTTCCCGACATGGCAGCTACTCTCCTCTGTCAGGCTTCGTTCCTTCAACCCAATCGTTCGCTGAATCTCAGAGCTCACCAGTTCCCTCGCGTGGTTCAGAATCTCCGAATTCAGCCTACTTCCTCAAGTACTTCATTTTTTTCTTGCTTATTTTCTGATGCCTCGCTCTTGAATTTTCGCACGAAATTTGATGTTAATGCGATGTATTTCTTTTCTCAGATGCACGGTATTTGGCCAAAATGGAGAATGGGTTCGTCCCGAGAGCCTCGGGGGTTGTCCTCACATCGAATTCTGACTCTCGAGTTACAGTCACAACAGCCAGTAGTCCGATTATTGTCATAGACAACTACGACAGTTTTACTTATAATCTTTGCCAGGTTCTTTCTTTTTTCGTCATGTATATTTTACTTTAAAGAAACTAGTAGTGTAGTAACAAATGCGTGTCTGGAGATGCGTCGGAATAGAAAAGAAAGAGGTCAGATGATTTTTCTAATTTACTTGTTTTCTAACTTCTTTCCTTACGGAGTTTCATATAAATGGTTTTTCATTTGTACCGCACGTACCTCTTCTCTTGGAAGTGGACAAGATTTATAGCAGAATTTCTGCTTTACTGTATGCTTGATTTTTGGACGAGGGATGATGTGGAAAAGAAAGGACATGATACGTTTTCAAATTTGAGGATATGGTGGGGGTGGCAGATGAAGAATTTCCCTCCTTCGTCTCAAAACCCTTTTATTTATATGTCGTTGCCCTCCAAAATTAGTCATTTCATGCAATCTTACTGGTTCTGAGTTCATGGCTTCTTGGACTGTGATGTCATCTCAATTCAAGGGGAAAATATGAAAATGATGACAAAGGTGCAAGATTCAGTTCAATCATGTAATTATCTTTTTGTTTTTTGAATTAAACGGGCAAGCATTAACAATCTTAGATTATAAGCAAGATCATACCTGTGATTTCTGACTCATATGGAGCTTGCATGCCGCTAGATTACGAGGCCATTGGCATGTAAGTATCTTTATAAAAACCTAATGAATCAAATAATTGATTGACTGAAAGGAATTACATTTAGCAAAGGCTTTTGTCATCCCCACCTCCTCAACCTTCTATGCATGCAGTCAACTGCAACCGGTTAGAGGTTGGATGCTTGGATTTAAACATTATAAAATTGGTGCTATATGTATCAATAACTTCGTCATAAGTTTGGTGAGGTTTTGCTTCATATAGAGTCTGTTATTAACATCTTCTTCCTTTTACTTGCTTCTCTAAAGAATGATTATTCTGATGTTGAATTTGTTATATTTTAAAGTACATGGGAGAGCTGGGATTTCACTTTGAGGTATACCGCAATGATGAGCTAACAGTCGAGGAGTTAAAGAGGTAAGAATTGTGTTTGTTACTCATTTTATGTTTCACATCATTATTGATGAAGCAATAGTGAGAACATACAAATTTTTAGTGGTTCTGACATGGTTAGCTAGAAGTTGAACAATTTCTCATTTTCCCCTGCGTAGGAAAAATCCCAGAGGTGTGCTAATATCACCTGGTCCTGGTAAGCATTGTCTGCTACTTCAAACAATTTTTTTCTCATTGCTTTATCTGTATCAATTATTATTACACATGAACAAGGTTTTGACGTAAAATAAAGATGAAAGAATAGATTCCACTCACGAGATTGTTGTGAACCTCATTTCTTCCCTATAGGCGCACCCCAGGATTCTGGCATATCTTTGCAAACAGTTTTGGAACTTGGACCAACTGTACCTTTGTTTGGTGTGTGCATGGGCTTGCAATGTATTGGAGAGGCTTTTGGAGGTGAGCCTTTAAATATTTCTTTTAATCCATGAAGCAACTGTTGTATTAAAATTTGGGCCCATTGAACAAATTTAAGTTTCCTTGATGTTCTTTATATAATTTAACCTTCTTTTGTGGATTCCCATCTTTCAATTTTGAAGGGAAAGTTCTATAATCTGTCCATTATCATTGATGTCTCTCTGATTTCTTTCCATTGGCTTGTACATTGTGACTTGACGAGTACTTTGTGGCGTTGCACTCTGCAGGAAAAATTGTGCGTTCTCCTCAAGGTGTTATGCATGGAAAAAGCTCTTTGGTGTATTATGACGAGAAGGGAGAAGATGGATTATTGTCTGGGCTATCGAAGTATGGTTTTAGTACTTTTATTTATTTTGAAATATGTCATTATCAGATTGTTCATATCAGCTTGGACCTGGAACTTGATTATTTAGTTTTATCTCTTAGGTAAGGTAAGCTATAGTTGATTTTAGCCTAATATGGTATTTTGGCAAATAGGCCCTCTCGTCGACATGCTTCAATTGATGATTAACCGCTACGCTACCTGACAGCTTTCTTTGAGAAAAAGAGCAAATTTTGATGGTTACATAAATGATGAATTTTAATCAATGATGGCTAAAGTATATTAATTGGTTGTTGAAGACTACGTTCATACTCTACATGACCATGTATTAAAAAAAAAAAAAAATCAGAGTTCACAGAATATTAATCAATAATCTTTTGCAGCATTCATGTCAATCAAGAGGCTGGGAAGCAATATTATGATATTAAATGTTAATATCATTTCTTTCAGACTTGTTTTTTATCTATGCCATGCAGTAATGGCAAACTGAAGCTATACAGTCATGGAAATCACCGTTGTTTTCATAGTTGCTTTTCCTTTCAGTTCAGTCTCAATGGTTTCAAAAATTTAAAAGTCACAATGTAATTATTCTGTCATCTTCAAATCTTTTCAGCCCTTTCACTGCTGGTAGATATCATAGCCTTGTGATTGAAAAAGAGAGTTTTCCTCGTGAAGAACTTGAGGTAACAGCCTGGACAGAGGATGGTCTTATAATGGCTGCCCGTCACAAGAGATATAGGCATCTGCAGGTAGCATCTTACTCTCAACGCTATGCTAGTCAGATTTATACTTCTCAGATGTAGTTGATCACTGTGCCTTTAGAACCTGTGGTACTTTCGTCTTCTGGCTTTATTTTCTAGCACGTCTTCTGCTTCTTCTGAGTAATGTCTTCCGCTTATATGTGAAACAGCTTCCTGTTTGATCAAATTAAATCCACTTGCTCAAGAAATTTGCTCACTAGTAGCCCTGTAAAGGTCTTCAACCTATTTACTTTGTGAACAACCGATTCTTATGGTCATAGATGTTTTCTTGGATAAAATGGAATGCCGATATAACGTAATTTCAAGATTTAAGGTGCAATTTTAACCATGATCTTATTTCTCAAGTGCAATTTTGTCCTGATAAATTAATGGTGCAATTTTGACCATGATCTTTTTTTTTTTTTTGGGTGTATTTTGACCTTGAGGGGCAAAATTGCATCCAGAGATCAAAGGCGAAATTGCACTAAAAAAAAAAAAGAAAGATCAGGGGCAAACATGCACCACTGAAAGATTAGGGACAAAATTATACCTGAAAAATAGGATCAGGATCAAAATTGTACCTTAACCCTAATTTCAATACTGGCTTCCTTCGTTAGTTTTGTCTTGCAGTACGCACTTCTGCTGAACTAGATGATAGCAATAATACTGATTAACATCACCTGAACACTATGTCTGGCATCTTCTCTCTCCATGCTGACTTGTTATAACATGCAACCATTTTCTCACATCAAGTCTTTCATTATGCTATTGCTATTTAATGCTGGACATTTAGTTTAAAGTTTCTTGTAACAAGCCCTTTGATTATTTTGTTGGCTAGTAATGAGTACTGATGGGAATTTCTCATCAGCGTGATTGCTTGTGCTTAAAACATTAATGCGTATAAGAACGACTATAAGTCATTAGAAACATAACATGTAAAAAGAAAAAAAGGAAAAGGAAGAAACATACTTTATACTACCTTTAGTCCTAATTATAAGAGCTAGTTGACTAATTTGAGGAGACTAAAGAAGTAAGTTGAGTTAGTTATTTGTCCTAAATAGATGTTGTCTTTCCTAAAACATCCTTGCTAATCAAATGTATTGGATAAAACTACTATTGTTAGAAGGACTACTTTGGGAAAAAACAAAGTATAAATATGAGAGATAAAGTGGATTGGGATCTTATATTTAGGAACAAAATAAAAGTCAAACAAGGTCTTATATTAAGGACCGAAAGTAGTACAATAAAACTGGCTTAAAGTTGAAACAAGCTAGCTGCCATTCAAAAATGAACTGCTAGTCTCTTTTCCTTTCGCTAGATAACCAGTGATTTTTAACTATCATTTCCTCAAAACCGCAGGGGGTTCAATTTCATCCCGAGAGCATTATAACCACCGAAGGCAAGACTATTGTCCGCAATTTCGTCAAGCTTATAGAGAAAAAGGAGGCTGCGGCTTTAGCAAAATAATGTTTCATTACTGTTGAATCTTAGTATGGCTATAGAGCTCATATGGCTGAGTTTCATTACTGTTGAATCTTAGTATGGCTATAAAGCTCATATGGCTGAGGACAGTCAATGTTCTCTGCTCTCTAAAGTCAGCAATCTGCTTTAGAGTTTTATGAGTGCCTGGTATGTACTTAGTTCATAAATGGCGCGTGATGTTTCATCTTTTCATATTTATGTAATGAGTAATGACTATTCGAAGCTATCAATTTTCTTTAAACTGTATATCCCATCTCCTTTCTCGTATCCACGTTTACACGTAAACTATCATTATATCACCTGTTATTGGCAGAAAAGAATATTGCATGAAGTCTAGAAACTAGGATCAGCCGATCATAGTTAAAGGCTTGAGATAATACCGTGCGGTGCTGTGAATTTATTACAATGGCCAAACAAACGCCTGTTATGTGGATAAGAATCATCAAATGTTTGAAAACACTAGACACCTCCCTTTAAATGTTGAAATATATTACTTCCGGTTTTTAATATAAAAGTTTATTTTTTATTTTGTCTTTTATATTTATCTATTTTCTTTTAAAGGAGTCTTTATCATAATGGTAGTTCTATGTAATATATTTAATTAGCAAAGATATTTTAAAAAAGATAAATTTATTTATTATAAATAACTAACTTAACTAAATTTTTTAATTTACTTAAATTAATCAGCTATCTTTTATATTAAGAAACAGAGATAGTATTATTGAAATCCAATGTAAGGAGGTTTTTATTTTCCCTGCTACGAATAGATATCTTTTTATTAGAGATAATTCTATTTAGAATCTTGTTGAATATTAATTGTAGGTATTTTTCTCAGGAAGGATTTAAATTTTGATTCGTTTGGTTTGTTATGTTATGAGAAAGAAACTTTTTTTGGTAAATCCAAACTCCCATTGGTCATGTAGGGAGTTGTGGAGGGAGTCGAGTGCTCGTAGGATTTAATCTCTCTCTGTAAGGCTTTTCAATGTGGCCTATTTAGGACACACTTGAGACCATTTGAGCCTCTGGCACGCCTCACAACTTTTTTTTCTTTTTGGCTACCACAAAAGTACATACATGCATCATATAATTTACAGCAACTTGAGCCATGTACGCAACTTATCTGTTTAGATTCCATACAATATATTAACAGGAAAAAAGAGAGTCAAGTTTCATGACAAAAAAGAATAAGAGAATAGTCTCCATTTGCTTGCCAGGGTCTGCTTTGGTGAATTTGTGCTTCTCACCAAATCTTGTTTGCTGTTATCACATTTGAGGGACATGTCTACTACAATAACATTTATAAATTTTGGCTTTGCTATATTCAAATACATGACACACCAACATACACGTAAATATTTTTGAATAAAAGCACAACGCAGTACAAGTTCCTCTTAAGACGTTCAATCATTTCCAAGAAACGAACAGATGAATCTGTGCCCATGTGGGACATTTTGGAAGTGACTGCAAGTTGCAAGGTGGTAGCAGTTGAGGCCTTAGTTCCAGAACAGAGAAAAAGAACAAGAAGCAAATAGGAACCACACAAGATATGATTTAAATGATAGGAAGAAGATGACAAGGTCTCTTTGTCAAGAGTTTGACTGCTGCTCCTATATACTAATTGACAATCGTAGTTCCAGTTCACACCTGGTTGTCACCCACTCATACACCTACCCTCCCAAAAACTCTTTTTAGGTCCTAGGCCACAACAAAACAACTCAGTTTTGTTGATTCCTTCTATTTTTATTTCTTTTGGCTCAATATGCCGCCATTGAGTCCTATTTATGAATAAACAGACTTTAAAAAGAATGAACTTTTATATACCCATTTGCTAATAATGAAATCTTATAGAAGCTAAACGTACACTAATGTCTGTTGAGGATTTTCTCCTTCTCCTCCTCCTTCTTCTTTTTAATGAAAGATCACGTGACAGTTTGATTTTGTTGCATAAACTGGTAAGCAGAATGACAATGGAGGCATGTTCAAGTTGTGTCAGAGACATGCTTCATAGTCAAGAATCAAGATAAGCCATGCCAAAGCCACGAGATCATCAATCAATATCAATATTTAACATTAAAATGTGATCGCTTATATATAAAACATAAACCTAATTCCCAGCTCAATTGGTCGGTCCTGATTCTTGACTCTGTTGGCAATGTCCTTTTCTGTATTAAAAAAAAGAAAAGAAAAGAAAAAATTCTTTTCGTCCCTTTCTCACATTAATTTTTACCCAAGTTTCCTTGCAGACTGCGTCAAAAGTGAGAAATTAATGCATGTTTGCTTTATTTTATAGTAACGTTTACTTTATTGCAAGTGGATGGAGACTTGCACTAACCACTAACACGGCTAAATTATTGCTTGAAGTTGGTATTCCACATATTCACAAGTTATCATGCTCTTATCTTACTCATATTTCTTTTTATCTTTAAATACTTTGCGGGAAATCTATTTTTTTAATGTTTGATTAATTAAATTATAAATTAAGAAGTTAGTGTCGGAATTATTTCAATTCATATCAACTCTCTAAATTAAGAGAGTCAGTTTAAAAGAAAAATGTTAAGTCCAAAAAAATCTAAAAGAAAAATGACAAATGGCAAGGAATTTGGTCTCAAACTTTCAACTTTGTACATTAGGAAAAAATATAAGAAAAATAAGATATCGAGAAACTTTCTCTCTTAAAAGATTCATCATACTCGGCTCAAGATAATTAATCTAATATTTCTTTTGAAAACTAAAAGACTTAGGGCCCCTTTGGTTTAATTGCAAACTCTTTTGGGAATGCAATGGGGTGCAATGCAATAGGATGCAATGCAATAATGATTACCATCAATATGTTTAGTTTGTTATTAACAAGATGCGCAAAAATTATTTTTCATATTTAATCAGAATTATAAAAGGTCCAAAATGCCCAAAAACTCTCAATTCCCAATCATCTTCTACCTCAACCAAAACACCAGCGTCAATACAAGACCCAAATAAGAATTAGCATGTTTAAAAGAAAAAATCTTGAGCAAATCATGAGCATAATGAATTAAAAGGGAAACAAAATATATGAATTAAGTTTTAAACTTGGTTTCAAATCTTGTAGAGGTAACAAAATAAAAACCAAGATCTAAACCACAGAAGCATGAAAATCTCATGTTTGTCCCAACAAATACTGATTTGAACATTTGCAAAAAAATAGATTCAGAGAAAGACATTCATAGAAAACAGATATGAAGGGGTGACATTCACAACTTCAAACGTTGATGGCCAGAGATGAAAATGACGATAATGAAAGGAGGGAGAAAAAAGAGAAGGGCTTGTCATCGGGGGAAAAAATAGAGAGAAGGGTTGGAGAGGAAGGTGAAAAATGTTGATTCTAGTCGATGGGGCTAATAGTGCCGTGGGGGTGGCTGTCGATAATAGAGGAGGAGGGAGGAGGCAACAAGAACAAACACAAGGGTAAATTAGACTTTTTGAATCATACAATGAACAGTAATGGGAATTCATAAAGGGGAGGTATGAATGTGTATTACCAATTTTTTGATAATAACCATTACCATGGTAAACCCTATTACTAAACTAAAGAGCAACCAAACATGCTTTTTTTGACAATGCAATTTTAATTACTATTACAATCCTGTAATGGGATTGAACCAAACGGGCTCTTAGTAAAAGCATTCAACTCATGAGAATTTCAATTCTCCTTGAAACATCCCAAAAAAAAAAAGCACGAATCAATAGAGGAGGATTGATCACTGCCCGATAAATAAGGAGCAAGTTGAAGAAACATGTGTTGTGATTATAAAGCATGCCATTCTCTTGCCTAAATTCCCAAAAAATAAAAAACAAAGGAATGAAAAAGTAATTGCATAAAGCAGACTCCATCTTTGGAGCTGTTTCCAAAGTCATTTCTGGCTTTTGGACAATATTAACTTAGAAATTTTGATGGGGAGGGACCGAAATGGGATTTGATGATTTCACTTTCACATGTTGACATCAAAATTCAAAATGGGATTGATTCTTGTGATCAAAGTTGCTTTTTTCTTAGAAATAAAAAAAATAAAAAGATGAGTAATTGGCTACAGCTCAAAGAGAGTATAATTAGTTTAGAAATAACCAAACTGGTTAAGCGACAGAGCAGGCATATTGCTTTAATTACTAGACAATTTGGTGCAAGTCCTATCTGTTTAGCACAATGATTAGAGTTTGTTGCATTTAATTTGCAAAATTCTTGCTTTCCAAAGGTAGCTTTTTGTTAAGCTTTTGACAAATGAGCACTTTAGCTGAACCGGATTCTTTTTGGGTGACGAATAGATTCACTGCTTGAGATTGAGGCTGGGTCATATGGTCAGTTTCATCTAAATTGATGATGAAACGACATTTTCGAGCACCTCAGGCCACCTAGTAATTTTTTGTCATTGCATGTCTGAAATAATTTACACTTATTTTCACTAAGCATTTTTAAGGTAATTACTATTTTAGAACTAGATATATGCAGCAGATACTTCTTTGAATAACTAGATTGTTACTATTTCTTTACCACAACTTGACCAAAAAAAATTAAAGAAGAGTCAGTCATCACATGCTTGTTACTGGAGTTTTAACTGATAATTTCGAAGCAACATATTTTTAATGCCACTACAGGAAGTAAAATTTGACTCATTCTCCAATGTTCACAGTTCAGTGGAAAAAAAAAAGTGCCAACTCTATTGAACTTGAAGCCTCTTTGTTTTTTTTTTTTTTGGGGGGGTGGTTGAGGCTAATATTTTTCAGGAAAAGTTCCAGGTTTGATTCTCTGTTCATAGATTCATTAGAGAGAGAGAACAGAAATGGCTTTCATTTTGGCTTTTGCGTTCTCCTAGAAGGAGAGGCATGTAAATGAGACAAGAACTACTTCTCTACAGGATGTTGTGTTCATAACGTTCACAACTTCGTCATCTTCACGGCACAAGACAAACACACTCCCTCATAAAAATAAAGAATACATTAATTAATTTATGATCCTTCTTTATCCACACTATATTCGGTGCTGCTGCACAATTTGTCATATTCCAATGACTTTGATTCCATCTCTGATTGAAACTTTTGCCCCATAGTATAATATATCATCCCAAGCAGACAAATCTAGCCGTTTAAACTTCATTCATGAACTTAAGAAAAAAGAAACAAATCCCACCCTAATATCTTCACTTCAGACGCAGCCAAGAGAATTTCAATGGAGCAAAAATCTACCAACAGACAGTCCGCACCAGAACATTATTCATAAAATGGCCCTCATGTAAAAG